TAGTGGTTGAAGCGTATTAGATCTTAGTCTGGTGATCACGAGATTGAGTCTTTGAGTTAACATATTGGGAAACACATTTAATTTTATTATTTTTCATTTTGAAAGGAATTAGACTCTCATGTAATCGTTAAACGAAGAATATCATAATAGTATTACACTCTATTATATGAATTCGCCTGTATTCCCCATCCTAACAGACAGTGAGAATGTGAATATTTCTCTTGCATGCAATTAGTAGTAGAAATTTGTCATGATGTTGATAGTTCATATCAGAATTAATAGTATGCTTTCAGATTGTATTTCAAAAAAACGTTTTTTGAAGCCATATGTTTTCATTACAATCCTTTTTTTTTTTTTAAATGTTTTTATTACAACATTAACAAAAAAAAAAAAAAAAAAAAAACACATTAACAAAAAAAAAAAAAAAAAAAAAAACCAAGTTTAACTGCTATTGGTTTGGCAATTCCGTGCCTCGAGTAACGAAATGTACGTTGTAAATGAAAATAAATTAATATTTTGATTTTATCCATAAATCAAATTCATATTTGATTTTTATGATAATATGAACAGAGAATTTATCATCATGAAAAAAAAAAAAAAAAAAAAAAAACCAAGTTACTGCTATTGGTTTGGCAATTCGTGCTCGAGTACCGAATGTACGTTGTAATGAAATAAATTAATATTTGATTTTATCCATAAATCAAATTCATATTTGATTTTTATGATAATATGAACAGAGATTTATCATCATGACTTGAAATCCTGTGGTTAGATTAGTACTTGAATGATAGAAAAATCTGTCTTAATAAACGTAAGCTAATGTTAACAGTAAATATGAAAATAAATAACATTTAATAAATACGAATAAAATTAAAAAAAATAATAATATGGTTTCAAAATTTTAAAGGAACACTCAAAATCAAATTAACGAGTAATAGTACATTTCAGGTAAAAGCCTCGAAAGAAGTGCTGTATAGAAATTCTAATTTTATAAATTAATTTAATTTAATTTTATTATTGGACAGTGTTATCTGTAGTTATTTATTGTTGAGTCATTTTCATCAGTAATATAGAGTGGCAGTCATGCAAGTCAGAGTTTATAAATTTATTGTCTCCACATTATATTTTTATTTTTCATCTTTATTTCTGAAATGTGTTTTTTTTTTTAAATTATTTTTATTTTTTTTATAAAAAGAGGATGTTTTTTATTCATCTACATTTCTTTATCTCTAAAATGATATATTAATTAACTTTAATATATATTATTCTTTTTATATGTTTTTCTTTTTAAACTTAATACAAGTTATAAAAAGTGAAACATATATTTATCATCTTTATTAGTAATTAATTATTTGGATTTTTTTAACAATAATTTTTTAAAAATAAGTTTACATTTACCGTGTAGAATTAGACAAAATCCGCACGTGTGGATCCAAAAACTAGTTACGTATACTGGATTCTTGAACACTTGCTGTTGAAAGAATCCTACAGGCTGATAATACTAGGTAAATAATTAAGAACTAATACATCAACTCTACCTAATCTAAATAATTTTTTTTTAATTTTATCAATATAATTCGGAAAAAACTTAATAAAACCGCTAAAACTGAGCCGATAGGCTTCGTTATTCTCCCAAAAAAACTTAATTCTATTAATATAGGTAATGGGTTAGACTAAGGCAGTGTGCTACATAGGAATTGTTTGGTTTGGTACTTTGGTTTAAATCATCCTTGTACAGTATTATAATTATTTGAATTTTGAAGTTACGTTTGATATATGCCATGTGTTCGGCAATGGCTATTTTTTATCGTATTTGGTAATATTGTATTTGAATTAGCTTTTAATTATTAAGATAACACTTTATAAAAGCATTTTATGAATAATTATTCAAACAATTAATAGTTGAACGTTACTAAAATAGCTAATTTAAAACTAATCTAGTTTTAAAAAAGTCCTGACTGTGTTTTTTTGTAAATATTGTAGATGTTATAATGCAATTCAGAGTCCTGGTCTTACAGATTAATTTAAATTAGCTTTCAATAGGTTTAATCGTATATCTTTACGCATAAGAGATTAATTACTTTTGATGCCATGATGCTTTCTATATCAATATTATCTATTTATATTTTTGTTTTCATAAGAGTATTCTTATACTTTATTATTTATGAAAGAGACTAATCTCATTTTTCGTGGTTATAACACTTCTCATAAGTATTTTTCTGCTGTTAAAATTGTGATTTACAAAGTAAAAGGAGCATTCAATTTCATTATCCTGGTCCATATATATTGCGGCAGACTGAGAACCCTAGCCAGCTTAAATCTCTTCAATTGCTAATTTAATTATTTATGATCTTTTAGAATTGGATATATTCCTTTATAATTGCAGCCTGTAGAAGCAACAGTGCTTGTCTTGGATTTAGGGACCATTTTTTCTTCTTTTTTTCTTCCAATTTATGGTGGGAATCAGAACAGTCAAAAACCTTTTCTCGTGATGCCCACCATTTTTCATATTCTGCCGTTGCTCATATACAGCAACACTTACAGATAATTCCAAACAAAAAAGAAAAGAAAACCCTAAATTTAATACAGAAAAAGACAATCCATTCTTTATATAAGTTCATCAAAAGTAATTAATGAAAAAAACTTGTTATCCCTTTCTTTAAAGGAGATTCGGTTTCTGCATGTAAAAGAAGCCTTCATTTGGTACAGGTTCTTAGGGTTCTTGGTTCTTGTCTGAATAATAAAAATGCAGGATTTTGGTTTATTAATTTTTGAGGGTTAAAAGGGGTTTCAGTCCTGTTTTAGGGTTTTAACTTATTTTGATGAGATGGGGATATAAAGTAGATTTCAGCTTTTGACTGTTGCAACTGCAACTGCAACTGCAGCTACGTACAGTCTATTAGACCTCAATTATTTTTTAGGAAGATTCCATTTCTAGATTATTAAGGTAAATTTTAAACAAATACCTCTCTTTCTCTCCAATGTGTACACTCGCAAATAAGTAAGTTCAATTGAACTAATTAGGGTTTCTTTTTTCTTTTTTTTTTTTTGAAAGGATTAATTAGGGTTTCTTGTTTCCCTCTGATGCTTGATCAATCTGTCATTATTCTAATAAATTAAAATTAGGGTTTTCTCTTTCATTTTATTTATTTGCTAATCTTTTTTTTTTTGGTTATATCTTGTTTGCACCAGATTCAACACTGTAGAATGAACGCTGCTTTGGAGCCTGACGATTTTATTTCTCTAGTCTCTAGAATTAAAACTAGGGTTTTCTTTCTCATTTTTTCATCAAAAAATGAACATAACTTATTCCACAGTTAGCAAACTGAGGTCTTGTTTAACCACAACAACTTTTAATGTAACGTTTATTCATAATGTTAATGGGAATAGTATGTTGTGAAAGATTACTATCTTTGGCGTTATTCAATAATAATTTTTCATATAATTTTTAGTGTTTTGATTAGTCAAAAATACTAGTTATATTATTTAAAGTATTCGAAAACGTAGCGTTTGAACTACTATTCATAGTTCAAAAGAGCAAATCACGTAATGTTGCTTCCTTCAATGTTTGATGAAAAACTAGCTAAATAACGAGAACTACTATGACAACTAATAACCACTAAAACAGTTAATTTTATCAAATAGCCGATACTTACTACTAATGCTAACAACTAATGTGCCTGCCATGGCCTAATTAATACATTCACAGTAATGGAAGACATTATACAGAAACTTAATTACTCTCTTCTGATCTGATGATTTAAGTCAAAAGAACAACTAATTAAGAACCATATTTAGCATTATAATTAAAAAAATAATTAATTAAAAAGAAAAAAAAATGTTGATCTGCTTCTTCTCCTTGGTTTATATTTTAGGTTCAACAATTCTGCTGCGCAAATCTCACTGCCATAAGTATGTGTGAAAGTGGTCCTTAATACTACTATCTCTAGATGCTTTAAAGAACCTACTTTGGTCCCTCATCTACAATTATATACATATCGATATCTCTATCTATCATCTATTTCAATTTATCAAACAATCTTCTAAGCCACATAATTAATACAATTATCAATTTGCTAATGAGATGGTGGTTTGATTGGTCTTTTCACTTATATAAGGAGTGAGAGGTCTCGAGTTCGAGTTCTCTGACTACAATTTGGTGAATCAAGCAGATATAAAAGCATCAATTTTGCCTAATAAACTAGATCAATGAAATTAATCTTATTTTGCTCGTAATCTCTTTTATTAATTCGACTATCAATCAAAATCTGAACTTGAAAATTTTTAATTCTGGAGACAATTATAGTACTTTTCTTTACTTAATTAATCTTTTTTACTTGGTATTTTTCTTCTAATTTCTTTTATTAGTTCGACTATCATTCAAGATTTAAACGGGATTTTTTAATTTTGGATATCATTATGGTATCATTAACTTTAATTAGCTATAAGAGCTCAATATTATCTATTTCTTTTTATTACTCGAAGATCATTTTACTTAAACTTAACAATAACTTAAATTCCAAAATTGGATATAATAATAATAATAATAATAATAATAATAATAATATTATTAGGTATGTACACATTGTCCAACAATAAGAAGATAATTAGCTTTTTATTCCTCAAGGCATGCATTATAAAGGTAGATGTCGATAAAGCATAAGCCCTCTTTTTTTTAATATGTATTGGATGGTCCCCTTTGGAAAAATTAGCAATCTATTGAAAAAAAAAAAAAAATTAAATTAAGAAATGTAAACTACAAGGAAAGACCAACCATACTTCATTATTATTAAGGCAGGTGATTGATCAGTATGTGGTATGTAAAAAAGAATAAAATTATTGTTTAACTCGTTTAGCTAGTAGACGTGTCAATAGAGACTGACAACACATGGTCGTGTACGCGCCATATCTTTGTTTTTTTTTTTTTGTTTTTTTCTTTCATTTTTATCTTATGAGGTTAAATTCTGACATCTTTGAATTATGATTTTTTTTCTGAAATTTCAAATTGGAATTACTTGAAAAGGATTAAATTATTCTTCATTCTCAAACAATATATATCATTTAAATTGAAGACTAAAACATAAGTAGGACTTTCAAGAGGCTAATGCCTTTTCTAGCGACTACTGCTGTTCTTCTTCCTCAGCTAACCTAAACGCTCAAGAAGCAAAATTCATCATTTCCAAGAATCCAACGGTTAGTCTTCTTTCTCATTTCCAAGTTAAAGTTATCTATATGCTTATCATATGATATGTTCTTCTTTTTTATTTTTTAATTATTCTTGAGTTTTAACTTCATGAGTCAGATTAATTGTTTTTTTTAGAAAATCTGGATTCGGCTTAACCCTAGATTCAACTTTCATAATTCTTTGTCTGAGTTTGAGTTCGAATTCGAGTAACATATGCTATAAAAAACCTAAAGAATTCCTTAAAGCAATCTGACTTTATAAATCTTGAAGAAAATACAAAGAAAATTTTCTTTATTATACCAGTTAACTAGGTTCTAAAAGAAAATTGCATGGAATTACAGAAACCAAACCAATTTGATGTAATTGTTACTACAGGTTCAGTGCAGACCTTGCAACTCAATAATGGTAGAAGCACTCATTAGAAGATGACTACAAAGCAAGAAGGAGATGGCAATGAGAACAAATTCCCAAACGCAGCAGCATCCAGTTCAAGAGAATGGTCAGCATTTAGGAATCCGAGAATTGTACGGGTTTCGCGTTCTTTTGGAGGAAAAGATAGGCATAGCAAAGTTTGCACAATAAGAGGATTAAGAGACAGAAGAATTCGGCTTTCTGTACCAACAGCAATTCAACTGTATGATCTACAAGATAGGCTCGGGTTGAGCCAACCCAGCAAGGTAATTGACTGGTTAATTGATGCTACTAAAAATGATATTGATAAACTTCCTCCTCTTCATTTGCCTCAAGGATTTGGTTATCAATTTCATCAACAAATGCTACTTTCTAATGGATCAACCAATAACAATAATAATGATAATCATGGCAATCAAGATCAAGATTCAACCGCAAAGTTCAAGTATTGGGAGGCTGAAGCTTCATTGAAAAATATTGCTCATCAAGAGAAAGGAAAGTGGATCAGAACTAATGATCAAGATGGTGGGTTTAATTGCAATTCAGCTCAAAACTTGTTTCCTTTAACAAGTAATCATTCTTCTTTACCCAATTTGCTAAGCAATCCTTTGCCTTACTATCATTGGGATGCTTCAAATTTATCTTTATCTCAATTTGGTCCTCATCATGGATTTCTTCCTCAATCTTCATCAGAAACTTCCCTAAATAGCAATACTAATAATAATCCTACGGTTCCATTGCCATCATCACTAGCTTTCTCTTCTAATAATGCTCCTACTTCTCATCAATTCTTTTTCTGTCCGCCCGCGACAATGTCTTCCCTATTTCCACAATATCCTCCTTATTCTATTACTCCATTGGAGAATGAATGGAGGGACATTAATCACTTCCAGTTATTAAACCCTTCTGGTTCACAACATATGGCTCTCCCTACTTCTCGCGGTATAAGCTCGCCAAAGAAGAACTTCTCATTGAATGTAAATCATGGGTTTGCTCATGCTTATAGTACTAATAATAATGAAAGGCAATCAGTTGATAAAGATTCATAATATCTTTCATATCGATATCGTTTCGTGTTTAATAAGTTCAAGTGATGTCTCTTTTGATTCGAATGCCTCATCATTTATATGCAATGATCAACTGGGGAGTACTCAAGATGCTTGTCGATCGATCACCATGAATTGTTTGCTTCTAATACAAGTAAGATACTGGATAATTCTCCTGTGTTGGCTTTTAATTTGTTTATATAGATAATTTTATCTGCAGACAGTTATGTCGATCAAGGTAAAGTTTGTAATTGCAATTTCAGATTTTCTAATTAATCAAGTTTCTTATACTTATATTACTAAATTGTATTATTAATACCATGTTTGATTATGCACATTGATTGTCATAATTTGGAGTATATGATGACCAATTAAGCTTCACTTTTTATCATAATCATCTACTTTTTACTTATTTCAGCAAGCTAGCTAACTAAAAATTATTTATTTTTTATGAATTTTCAGCCACGTATTTTTTTTTTTTTGCTTGATAAATTATTAAATATATATGGCGTACGACTTTCTTATTTAGATAGTAAATAGAAAAGAAATTTGAATAAGTTATTACTCACTTCGTTGAAACAATTTAAATGAATATAAAAATCGCTAATTCAATGACCGGTTATGGTTTAAAATTCATCGATATAAACTCCAATCGATAATATATACTAAAACCTATACTATACCTATAACTATATAATAATATTAATATATATAATATATAATATATAATATATATATATATAATAAATATAGGTAGTAATATAGTATAGTAATACCCCCTATATATATATATGAAGTGTGATTGTAAATATATAGTGTGATTGTAAGAATAAGATGTTAAGATGACATTTTGTTTTCTGTATGAAAAAAAATTCAATGAAAACAAAACCAATCAAGGTATGTTGTCAAGACTCCAAATCTTGGTAATTAAAAAGAGATTATTTTATTTATATTTTAGTTTTATTCTTCAAAATTTAGACAAATTTTGTTTTTGTTTGTTAAGATTAGCGAATTTTATTGATTAGGATAATGGGTTCTATGCTTGGTCTTAAAAATGAGATCATGTCTTGTCCCAGTGTCCCTCCTGCTATTATTTGTAATGCTCGATGTTTTAATATTATTCATGCATTTATATTTTTTAAAAAACACATAAATTAAAATATTAATCAAAATTTCTAGCTAAAGAGAATCAAAGCAGACTACCAGGATTTTTTACCGTGCTCAAAATTGATATATTTTACTGAGAATTAAGGAAAGTGAATGAGAGAAATATATATATATATATATATATAGAAATTCATGAACTATAAACTACGTATCAAAAGATCAAATATATATATAAAAAAAAATACTCTCATTGCTTTTTAGTTGCATATGATCGATATAATAACAGTAATATATACCATTCAAAACCCTAATTCAATCATAAAGATAATAAATATTATTTTTTGCAACATAAATAGAGCCAATATATCATCTAAGTGACACTTAAAATGGACTGTGCATAAACATACATGCATGAGAGAGCAAAAGAAAATGAATGAGCTAATAGTTTATAAACATGTCTTCAAATCTTTGCACAAATGAATAAAAAAAAAAAAGGAAATTTGTAGAAGATTATTATTGACTATATTAGCTCGGGTGTAATTTCTTGATTTTATTAAATTTTTTTTCGTATATAATTATTTAATAAAATAAAATTTTTATTCCTGATTTTTTTCGTAAGATAATTATTTAATAAAATAAAATTTATTCCTGAATAAAAAAAAAAAAAATATATATATATATATATATATATATTATATATATATATATATAGCTAGATGTATATCCCCGTAGATTGATTTGAAATCGATATATAGGTAGATGTATACCCCGTAGATGATTTGAATCGAGTGATAGTACAAGAGCTAGTGTAGAAGAATCTATGCTAAAGAAAAAGGCTGAAATCAATCAATGACATTACAAACACTTTCTCACCAGATCCAAGAAAATATTTTAAAGGACGTCTTGTGCTCCTTTAATTCAAAGGTGGCATCAAACAAAAGCTTCATGTATAATAATTATATACGTGTGCGATAAAATTACAACTTAGAAAAAATAATTATTTTTTTTTTAATTTGATTTCGATTAAGAATATTAACTAAATACCAAAAAATACCTCTGAAATTTACGCATTTAATTCTTTAGCATATTAAAATTTACAAAAATTTTTGTGCTCCTCAAGTTGTAAATTACTCTTATTAAACGTTTCATCTTAATTATAAAATTATTTTATTGCACGCTTCTAGAGGTAAGTGAACTTTGAAAAAAATGAAAAATCAAACCAAGCTGAATTCTTTTTCAGTTATTTGATTTTCAGTTTCGGATTTAATTTTTAATTTTTTTATAATCTTAATTTTGAGTCTTTGGATCGGTAATTACAAAACACTTATCTTCTAAGTAAAACCGAACTAAACTAATTGGTTTTGTTCGATTTCAAGAAAAGTTATTTTTGGTTCTTGTGATTTTGTTTAATTCGAAATCGAATTGTTTGTTTGCACACCCCTACATGCTCAATCTTTGACTAGTTGAAAAATATAAAAATTGTGATTTCATGAATTGTACGCCTACAAATAATATCAATATTTTGCATATATAATATAAAAATCATAAAAATTGTTATTATTAATATGAAGAGAGGGATAATATATGTAAAGATCGCAAATTGATGAATACAATAGGTGCTTCATAAAATTTAATATTTTACAGAATTAAAATTATAAAATTTAAGTGTAAATTTATGTATTTAACTAATTAAATTTCGTGCTTTTAAACTTCACTATTCCTAGACTCTAAACCTAAGTCCTTAATTAAAATTCAATATTAATATAAAAAAACATTATTAGTTAGTGCCTATCAAGATTATTAACTCGAATCTTAAATTTTAAGTTCATAAGGAAAATTCATAACATTATCATATCAAAAAATTATATATATATATTTGGGTAGTCGCGAACATTTGGGAAGCGCGTGGCAAAGTGGCTGTCATCTTCACTAGGCGTGCTTTTCGATTGGTACTGCTGAGATTTATAGAATTTTGTGGTCCATGTATATATCACACACACATGCGCGCGTGGGTGTTTAATTTTGCTCATTATTTTTAAATTTATCACTAGTGCATAATAATATAGTTAGTTTTTAATTTGTGACACTAAAAATAATATTAAATGTTGAAATAAACCGGATCAACGAATTTCTTGCTTTGCCACTCTTAGAATCTATAAATTACTATTTCCGTCCAAAATAGATAGATCACTTTTTATTTTTCACATATATTAAAAAATATGGTTAAAAAATAATTTTATTCATATAACTTTCCTAGTATGCCCATCTTAAATAACATATGAATATTGAAATAATAACAAAGAATTAATGAGGATTATTGAAAATAAGATAAAATTTAATAAAGATATAGTAGACAATTCAAAGATTAACTATAGCGCAAAAAAGAAAAATAGACTATATTTTAAGATTAAAAAAAAAAAAGATGGACTATCTAGGAGGAGAAAGTGCATTGGTTCAAACTTAAAGGTTTTGCTCACCTTCAATCTTGTTTTTCAAATAAAAAAGTGAAATTAATGGTAGAAAGATAATTAATGTGCAATAAGGTCTTTTTTTTATTTATTTTTCTGCAAATTCTTTTGGTTGCATTGCATAGGTTGCCAATAAGATTGGTCCCTTTAAAATAATAAAAAAATTAAAGCGACCAATCTATAATATTATAAATTTATAATGTACTTCTTTTGAAATTTAATTTTTGCATAAATAGACCAGTTGAGGTTGTACTTTCTTTTCTTTGTTTTTTCCTTTTTTTTTTTTTTTTTTTTTTTTTATTTAGTAATGTACTTCGTTTGAATTTAATTTTTTGCATAAATAGAACCAGTTTTTGAGGTTGTACTTGTCTTTTCTTTGTTTCTTTCCTTTTTTTTTTTTTTTTTTTTTTTTTGTGAAAAAGGACTTGAGGTGTACTTGTAAAACATTAAAAGCCTTAGTTTAATGTTTTTGAGCTATTTTAAAACCTTAAGTTATTGGATGGAACGTCATTTTTTCTTAAAAAATTTAATTTAAAATTGGGTTCATATCTGTATTTCTTTCTTCTAAATTAATCCCTTTGAAACTTAATGTGTAAACAAATTGGCTTCCAAATACAAAAGTTGTCCTTCTTCCCTTTTCACAATCTTTTTTAATTATAATTAACTATCCTTTTTAATGGAAATCTTAATTTTTTTTTTTACTTGCAAAAATAATATACTATTTTTAAAAAAAATGATAAAACTTGATTAAAGTTCATTTTATTTTTGTCATTTTTTAAACATATTTTTAATGGCGAAGAAGGTTAGACACCTTAGATTTTTTTTTTTTTTTTTTTTTTTTGAAAGGACTTGAGGTTGTACTTAAAACCTTAAAACCTTAGTTTAATGTTTTTGAGCTATTTAAAAACCTTAAGTTTGGATGGACCATTTTTTAAAATTAATTTAAATTGGGTCAATCTGTTATTCTTTCTTCTAAATTAATCCCTTTGAACTTAATTGTTAAACAAATTGGCTTCCAAACCAAAAGAATTGGTCCTTCTTCCTTTTCACAATCTTTTTTATTATTATTACTAATCCTTTTTAATGGGAATTTTAATTTTTTTTTTTACTTGCAAAAATAATATACTATTTTAAAAAATGATAAAACTTGATTAAAGTTCATTTATTTTTGTCATTTTAAACAATTTTTTATGGCGAAGAAGGTTAACACCTAGAAGCCCCCGCGAGAATTAAACTCGCGAACTTTCACTTACGAAGCGAACGCACTACCACTATGCTACGGAGACTAGAGATAAATCAAATGAAAATTTTATTTGGATAAGAAAGTTTAAATAATTCCCTCCATTTTCATTCCATTTATGGGAATATACAATGAATCAAGTATCATTTCCTTGGGGACTAGAATAGAATCAGCCCCTTCGGCACATTTTCAGTTCAATTCCAGGTAATCAATAATTAACAAAAAGAAATCAAGGGTAGGAGACTTGATATCCTAATTCCATTAGAAATGAGGTAGGAAAAATTTATGAGTTGAGAGATATTATTCATGGTTATGTAGCTTATATCCAATGGATTTACATGATTAGTGAAAATGAATTGAATACAAAAATAATATTTGAGACCTAAACATTGCTTCATCTTTGATTTATCAGTTGAATAAAGCGTACAGTCCTTGTAAAATGGCAACTCAATTTGAGACCTTAACATTGCTTCTTCCATGTACATTGCTTCCTCTAGCAATGATAGATCAAATGCTCCTTGAAGTGTTAAACTTCACTTCTATTTTGGAAATTTGTAATTCTTTGAATGCATAACCAACAACTATAAACCAAAAACAAAGAAGCCTATATACCAATTCCAGATATTGCATATTAAACAAAAAAGTTATGCATATATTCATTCATTCACTCTTATGAATATGTATATTGTCAAAATCTGAGAAAATATTTTCTTTACATTTCAAAACGGAAATGCAGTTCTTACCCATAATTATTTTTCTTTAATATAAAAAATGTAAATCAGAATGATAGGGACAAAAAAAACAAACAAAAAAGGGTAAAATCAAGAATTAGGAGATGCTATTTTGCATATTACTACTAGCTACTTTGCAAATAGCTGCCTTCGCCTACCTGGTTTGGTGCGTGAACCAGCTGCTTCGCCAATCACAATTTCATCAACTAAATCCTTAAATATTGATCTCTCAACATCTAACACTAAACCAGAAACTTCATTATGAAAATCTGTCCAACTCTCTGACCGGCACATTACATCATCCCACAGAATGCTTTTGAGATCATCCTCCTCCTCGTCTAAGCTGCATAGAGACTTCTTGACTTGAAGCTGTTCAATCTCTGAACACAACTCTTTTAGCAGCTTTTGAGCACTGAGGGTCTTCTTTGCCAGTTTATCAGATTTCAACCATGGCTCAGGACAAGGCCCCAGGAGTGCCAACTTCTTCACAATCATTTCATTAACAGCATCAAATATGAGCTTGCGGTGAAACCTTTCGAGATTTGGCTTCAAGTAGAAGCTCTTTGCAGGGCTGCACTCTTCTTTTGAAAGTAAAGAACTGGCCTTGGTTTGCTCCAATACGAAAAATAACTCAGGGTTAATGGGGTGACCTGATGGATGGAGCTGAAATGTTGCCATGCTAGATCCAAGGTCTCTGAGTAGAAGACCGGAAGCTAATAAGATCTCAGAAATGTATCTGTGGTCTGGATTTGTGTTCTCACAAAGTGATGCAATGTAATCCGTACTGGCTTCATCGTGAGTGGAGTTTAATCGTCTAAGTTTCTGTACCAAGTTCTCAACATTTTGTAATTTCTGGCGACTGATCTCCGATGGAAGAGCAGAACTGACACTGTTGGATGAGAAGTTATCTGCAAGGTTCCACTGATTTTTACTGTGTTGTTCTTTGGAATCTTCAGCGCCATCACCTGTTACATAAGAGGATTTTCGATGAGATTTGATTGGTAATTGAGGACTCTATGATGAAAACAACAATGACAATGGATGACAATCGAAGTGTTAATTGTTGTTTGTCCTGTCTACTATCACTATTCACTAGTTGCTTTGCTGCCATATTTTCCATGTGTTATTTCTCATCCAGGTATATAGGCCCAATAAAAATCAAACGATGATGTGAACCACAAATCTCTCTCCTGATACAACTAATTCATCAAACTTATTCTAACAATTGAGTAGAATCACAAAGATGACAATTACTATACTTTCTTTTTCTCTTTCACTTCCTTTTTAATTGAATAGCTCTAGATAAATAATGTTTCTGATAAAATTTATATTAATATCAAGTGTAACTGCAAGTTCATTGTCTGCAATATCAGGAATGTACAAATCTTACTGCGTGAGATGAATAGCAACTTTAGGAATCTATGATCTGCATGATTTAACTTATTTCCATCTTATGAATGTCTTGCTAAGAATACAGGTACACATGCGATATGGACAAAAATTTTGGTTAGACAGGTAATTATCTATCAAATTTTGGCATATATAGGATGCATTCATTATAGTCTTCCAATGTTCAATTCTTTATAGTCTGAACTTGCCATGTAAAACTGAGAAAGTACTCTGGATAATAGAGCTTTACCTTTAGGGGCATTTGGTATCTGCTTTACTGGAGACAACGCATCATCTCTATACACTGAAGCATCCAGAACAGAGATGGGACTAGGCTGCTCTGGTGTGTCAACTGTAAGATCTGACAGTGTTCTGTCTTCTTCCAACCTTGAAGCTGGTTTCTGAGATAAGAAAAACAAAGTGTAAACATTTGTATTGTCAAAAAACATAGTGACTTGAGTAAGTTAAAACCATTTACTTTCTGTTCTGAGCTAGAGACCAAGTGACAGCCACCCTTCATAGATGGACTCTGGTCAGCATTGATCTCAGTTGAATATTCATTACTGGTAACTTCCACATCCGTTTTTAATTCAAAGACAACAGAGCTGTCGGACTGAAGAGAAATGTCGTCACCTTGGTGACTTGATTCAGTACTTATCTGGCTCAGTTGGTCATCATTTTGTGGAAATTTGTGAGATTTTAGTCTACTTTTCCCACCAGGGGAACCTGATTCAGTTGAGATTCTGTTGGCTTGCCTTCTAGGCCTGTTTGAATCAGATGGAGGCGTTGGTGGACGAGATCGCTTCTCAAACTCAAGCTTCTTCTGTTGCAGTCTTGGACTCACAGATCCTGAGATTTTTATTGAACTTGTGGTGCTTTCTTTTGGCAATAGTTGAGGTCTTGTTGAAGATTGAGTTGATTTATTCCTCACACTAGCTTTCTTATCATTGGAGTTGACAGCAGAACCCCGGTGACTGATTCTAGGAGATTGATCTTTAGCTTTTCTGCTGTTAGATGATCCATTTTTACCATCTGCATGTCCACTGCTTGGAATTCTATGAAGACCGTGAAGGCCATCTAGTGGAATTAATGAAGAAGAATGAATACCAGATCTCTCAGCCAGTTTGGCTGGTTTCATGATCACAATGGGGGATTCATAACTCCTCAGAGAATCTGAGCCTCTAGTTGTGGAAGCATTAACATAGTTGTTATGTTGGTTTCGTTGACTTAAGAACCTTGGCTTTTTCCGGGTGCTAGTACAGTTTGGTTCATACTCCCTCTGGGTCCCAGTGTTTGAACCTTGTTCTTCTTTTGTGGTCTCCAAGAGCCCCTTAGCCTGCATTGCTTCCAGAATCTGTTTAAGAGCTCGAAGATCCTTTCCAGATTGATTGAACTCAAGATCTTTCAATTTCTCAATCTCACTGTAAACTGTGGGAAAGGGGTTTGTTTCCTTGGCTGAAATTTTTGCAGATTTCTGAGAAGCTCGACTTCCTTCCGGCTGCTTCCATGGTGCTGGTTCAATTGGCAACCTTGAAATAGGTTTCATGATCAGATCTGGATTTTTCCACCTTGGTGATATTGGCTCTTTTGATAAGCTTCTTGGGGACTTAGGAATCCGAATTCGCCTGTTTACATCATTTGCTATGAGTGATGTTGAGAAGTCACCAAGTTCAACAGGTAAGCACTTGACTAGACCTGACTGACAAGAACTAGTTGATGCGGACTCTGGCAATGCTTCTAAACCCATCAACTTGGCTACTACATTAGAAGGCCGTTTCTGAGTTTCCACTGAATGTTGTAGATTATAAACTTTTTCATTTGAATTTCCACCATTTCTTAAATCTTTTGAAATGTGACTTGATCTTGAATCAGAGTTGTGAACCCGCAATGAAATTTCCTGACTATCTAATGAAAGTCTAGGCAGCTCTTTTAGCTTTAGTGTGGACTTAATGGTATCCCGTGACTCGAAAGATAAACGATTCATTTCTCTCCCATCATAAGAAAACCGAGGAGCATCTCTTGAAATTATACAAGAAGTCCCATCTTTTACATCATGCGATGATCTTGGCCGTTCTCTAGTTTCATTGTAATACCAAGGCGCTTCTCTAAGTTTAGCAAGAACTCTAAGGGACTCCTTGAGATCAACAGGAGAATTTTGCTTCCCCTTGTTCCCATTTCCATAAGATCCATCCACAGATTTTGAGAGATGTAATGGCCTTGGTGAGTCTTTATGCTTAATTGCATGTACATGGCCCATTGTTTCCTCTTTAGTTGGAGTTTTGACCGACAGACCTCTAGCTTCTCTATACATTGAGTCCTTGACAACATCTCGAAGATCGAGGGATTGCCGTCCTAAATGAGGAGAGGTACTAGGCTGGTTTAGAATAGCATCCCTTGAAGAAGTATCAGGGAAAATAATTCTGTCAAAAGAGGAAGCTTCTGGTTGAGCTGTTCTGCTACAATCTTGAGAGGACAAGGAGGATGAACAAGATGATGAGAAAGATGGTCTTGATGATTCCATAGAATTCCTCTGCTTCTCATTCAAATTCTTGTTAAAATTCATCTCCTGCAGTCAGAAGTTTACATAAGCTCCATACGTGCAAGATTGGCAAATATATTATAAATCAGGAGAAAGCATAGAGGTACATTTCGCTGCTCTTACGGGTAAAAAAAGAAATAGAAAAGAAGATACCATTTTGGGATACAGGCAAATTTCACGGTATTCAACAAAGATTGTCAATATACACAGGTAAGCATTGTTGACGAAGAAAAACTATGATAAGACAAGGTTGGCTGAACTAAGCCTTGTCTTTAGTATTTAGCAAATTTGTCAGGAAGAAGGAAGGAAGAAGATGAGAATTGAGAGTGCTTACAGCCTCCGTAGACCGATGGTAGACATTAAAAGATTCCCTTTCTGATATACCATTATTCAAGTGGGAATCACCTGCATTATTACAGAATCATTAGGACTTCAATAACTGTAAGAACCTTACATATTAACTAAAATAATAGCAACAACAAAGGCCAAATCATGATCAACAACTGGAATTACGAGTATGGAAAAAAACATGAAGATAAATAATGTATTTGACTATACATAAAATTAAACTGATGCAGCTAAATTTGGGTACAGAGAGAAATACTGATCAAGAAAAATATCAAGAAGCCAGAACCAGTTTTCATAAACAGGTATGTTGAATTTATAAACTTTAGCAAGAAATTTACCTGAAAAATAGTTGGAGACCATAACTTAAGGATCTATATATACACACATCCATAGGCATCTTAATCCATTCACATACAGCATGAAAACATAATGCATATTATTATGAGATTGCACATTAGAATCAAAATTGGGGAAATTGACAATGTTTAAAGGCACTTTTTATGAGAAATCAATCAGCTGCTTCCATCTTTCTATCTTTTCTTGGCACTAAAGGCCATTGAGTATACTTTCACAAGTAAATAAATAAAAATATCAAAATCAGACATACTCAATTCATCATGAATAAGAAAATCATATATATTAAATAAGGTAATTCATTAAATGAATAACATTTCTTGAAAAGTAAGCAAGATCCAGTCTTGAAAATAACCTGGAAGAAGCCTCCGATGGTTGATTCGCCTACCGGTGAGGACATGGTGACGATCAAAAAGCTGAAAAATCCCTGTCATGCATCCTATTTGCTTCTGCAAATCTGGATTATCATCTGCTAACGAATGTAAAAGTTTTGCTGCCATCTCCCCTTCCTCTCCTCAACCAATCCAATTGAATAGTTACACTTACTAATTATCCATCATCCATTATCTAAACCAAATGCTTACAACATTTCAAGCTCTAAGCAATTCTTTGGTACACATTTAAGAAATATTGGCATCAGACAGTTGACAGACTTTGCTTCACTCTTGAGTCACATCCACCATTGAACTCTTATCTTCTCCTGACAATTTCTTATCTTTTTATTCTTCACAGACCTGTTACGTTAATAAATATTCGAAGGGCAAACTCCTATTTTACCAACTCTAAGAACCAAAAGAAGAATAAAGCACTTTCCATATACATGAAACTCCAAAGTTAGCGTTTCCAAATAGAGAATTTTTCCTCCAAAAAATCAAAGAAGATGAGAAAAGTAAAATCTTTCTGCATAAATATATATATGGCTCCTTAAATATTTCTCTTAAAGCCCCACCGCGTTCCAGCTAATTTCCAGCTCAAAACATAAACTTTTAGGTACCCATCAACACCAAAAATATCAAGATTAGTCCTTTAGCTATCAAAATCACAATCTCACAAATGCTCCTCCTAAAACATAACTGCTCATTTCAGAATTTCCATTAAATCCCTCCAATTTGTCAAACTTTAGCGACAATCGAGAGAAAAATACAAGAAAAGGAACATACAAAGAACGAGAAAACTCAAATCAAATTTTAATCAGTACGTGAAACTGAAAGGATACCATATTGGGTTCTCAAAGGACAAAGAATTACTTTGTAATAGAACCAAAAGGAAAGAAAAGGCAGGGGACCAATTCCCAATACCAAAAAACTCAATATAATATGAACATAAAGTATGTAGCCATAGTTGAAAACATCATTACTCTCTCTGTATTTTCCTGTAAGAAACTAATACTACCAAAAAACAAAACTGTAATAAAAGAATCTCTCCAGATCCAAGAATAGATATATATTCATGGAATATATCTTCTTCTTTCTAGTCTTCCCTCAGATAACAAATGGAAAGACAGCCAGAAGTGATAGGAAGGTTTGTCATATAATCAACACGTATAAAACTACTCTGATTAAAGAACAAAGAGCTGGCAAACATTTTTTAAGACACACCACACACAAACAAGAAGAAAGAAAGAAAGAAAGAAAGAGGGAAAGAATGTGAAGGTGGGGCAGATGTCCTCTAGGCTTTATCTCACACATCCATGTGGGATGAGTATGTGGGTGGGTCTGGATTTGTCTGCATGGGCATGTGGTCTTGTCAGGAGAGTGAGTGAGAGAGAAGAGAAGTGAAGAGAAAGAGAAGTTAAAAAACAATAAAATGGAATAGAAATTCAATTCCTGTTATTTACCTGCAAAAGTTCCTAGTGCTTTTTCTTCAAACATTTGTCAGCTTCTGAATTCCAATTTCCACTAAATTCTCTTCATTGCCCTCTCTTTCACTTGGTTTCTTGACCATTTCCAAATCTTCAAAAAAAATTTAAAAAAGGAAACATTTTGTGGAAAGTTCAATCGTAGTTCCAAGATATTGCCATGACAGTTGTTTGACACTCATTAGAAACTATTTTAAGTACACAATTATTTTTTATTATTTTGCTATTAATTGATAATAATATTGTTGTGATTGGTAGCCACATAAAGAAAATAAGAGGGGACGAAGTTTGTTTCTAGATGAATAAGTGTTTGCAATTTACCTTTATTAAATGCCAACTTGCAAAGTGGGAGTGATTAAGACTTTAAAAGAGTTCATAAGTTCGAGCAAAAACAATGGAAATAATTGAAAAAAAAGTTTGGAAGAACTGGAAATACATCACCTATTTCATTGTTGTGTTGTATTTTTACAATTCTTTTTTGGTTTTTCAAGTTCATATGAGAAAATTAATGAGTTTTGGCCTTTTGGATAGAAATTGAAATATTATTTTTATTTTTATTTTTATTTTTTTTGAGAAACATAGAAGAGATGGGTTTTTTTTTATTATTATTATTAGGAGGTTGAATGATTAGGTATTTAATATTTTTAAGTGCTAATAAAATTATAAAATATAGACCTAGATTCGTATCTCATTCCCTAATACTAAAAAAAAAAAAAAATTATAAAATGGTATCAATATCTAAATGTTTTGAAAAATAAAACAAAAGGTCAACTGCATGCCTCTTTGGTTTTGTAATGTCATATCCTTGTAAAATGTCTTTCTTGAGGATTTTAAAAATAATTATGAATATAAATAATTTGTGAGTTTTACTATATTACACTGTCGAGTCAACTGAAGTAATTCATGAATAAATTTAAAAACAAAACTTAAAATTTTAATTTATTATTTGAGACTGTGAAATTATAATTAAATAATAAATAATGCTAATTTAAACTCATAATTAAATCAATCTGTATAAATTTCATTTTATACATAAAAGTTTCACTCTCATTGATATTTTACTCTCTTTTTTTTTCCCCTTTGCTTAAATTTTAATGAAAAATCTGTACCAACTACGCACCAATTTACGATAGCAGCGCAGAAATTGACTTATGTCACCATATCTCAATTTTAAATATATTGGTATCAATAAATAAAATTTTTGAAAAAATAATACCCCAAAAGGTCAACATGCAATGCCTCTTTTGGTGTTTGTTAATGTCATATCCCCTTGTAAAATGTCTTTTTCTTTGAGGATTTTAAAATAATTATGAATATAAAATAATTTGTGTAGTTTTACTATACATTGACACTGTCGAGTCAACTGAATAATTCATATGAATAGAATTTAAAAACAAAACTTTAAAATTTTATATTTATTATTTGAGACTGTGAAATTATAATTAAATAAAAATATGCTAATTAAAAAAATACTCAAATTAATCAATCTGTTATAATATCATAATTTAATTAAATATAAAAGTTTACACTCTCCATTGATAACTCTTTAACATCTGATTTTTTTTTTTTTTTTTTTTATTTCACACCTATTGCATTAAATTTTAATGAAAATCTGTAACCACTACGCCAATTTACGATAAATGCAGAGCAGCAGAAATATGACTTATGTTTCACATAATCTACAATTTTAATAATAATATTAACTAATATAAATAGTAATATAATATTAAATATATATATATTCTTTATTTATAAATGTAGGCATGATGCAAAGTGAAACTCCTCACTCGCTTCTTTATTTATAATGTAGGACCATGTGCATGAAACCTCCCTGCACTCGCTTTTTTATAATTGGAAGAAAGCGAATGGTATTTTGCTTTGTTTTATATTTTTTTTAAACAAATATTAATTTCACATTAGAATCTATACCTCTGTAAATATATATAATCCTGAACAAAAAAATAAGTTCAAAGTGCTCTGCGTTCAGGATTCTTATTTATCTTTTTCTACAAAATTTTGCTTATTTTAAATTTTATTTTATTTTACTATAATTTAATTTGTTTACAAATTATCTACAGTAAAATAATATATGTTTTAAATTTAAAAGATTATATTTAAATGAAGAGCCCTATCCTATCCTATCTTTTTTTTTTTTTTTTTAATTTTTTATAATCTCTTTATAATAATCTTCTTTCTCTATTCGGTATTTGCGTGTTGGTGTGCATGGCCTAAGCTTTCTCAGCTCTTGAGAGTTTTCAAGGAGCAGGGTTTGATATTGGCTGCTCTTCTGGGTTTGGCTGCTCTTCTGGGTTTGTTTGCTATTGATATTGGCTGCTCTTTTGGGTTTGTTTGCTATGGCTTAGACTTCCATAACTACGTTGTGGCCGTGGAAGGTATAGATTTCAGTTTATTTATTTCTTTTTTCTTTTTTTTTTTTTAAGCATTGGGGAAATGGATTTGAATTTTGCTTTTAGTGAATATTTTCTATGAATTTGTATATTATTGTATATGATGACTTCTCACAGATAAAGAGAACAATGGGTTTAAGACGTGTACGGTATACACATTATGTGGAAAAGCTAAAGCACCGGCTATTTCCACAAACAACATTGGTCATTTTCACACTGTTGATTGAGGTAATTTAGTATTTTGGTTGATGCTGTGCAGTAACATGGATGATAGTTTTGCGGGTTTGAGATTATTCTATCATTTTGAGAAAGGAGAAAAAAGAGAATGAAATCAGTGTAATATAGGTTACAATTAACCTGCAACATGCCATTATTTGATAGATGTACAATGAAGGAAGGATGAAGACTGTATAACTATTGTGTTGGAGGCTTCGAGCATATAATTTTTTTTTTTTTTGGTAAGATATAATTTTTATTATTTCATATATAGAGAATTGATTCTTTGACCTATATTTAATTGATTATTAATTTTAGAGTATTCATAAGTTCATAAATAATTTATAAATAATATTTATTTATATTGAATAAGTTCATAAATAATTTATAAATAATATTATTTATATTGAATATTTGCGAAATCTAAAACTTTATCTTATGGACTTTATCTATAACAAGGATATAATGTTTTAAATTTTTTGGAATTCATTAAACTTTAAAAACTAAAGCGAACATGGCTTAACTGAAATTTTTATTTTCATATAAAATTTAAAAAGGTAATTCACGAATTTTTATTTACAAAATACTTAATGTTTAATAATCTGCTTGAAAAAAAAAATCTTTAATAATATATTAAATGTTAATTTATAAAATTACATTATTTCATATATAGAGAATTGATTCTTTGACCTATATTTAATTGATTATTAATTTTAGAGTATTCATAAGTTCATAAATAATTTATAAATAATATTTATTTATATTGAATTATTTGGAAATCTAAAACTTTATCTATATGGACTTATCTATAACAAGATATAATGTTTAAATTTTTGAATTATAAACTTTAACTAAAGCTAGACATGGTTAACTGAATTTTATTTCATATAAATTTAAAGTATCACAATTTTTATTACAAAATAACTTAATGTAATAATCTGTGAAAAAAAAAATCTTTTAATAATATATTAAATGTAATTTATAAAATACAATATATAGCAATAAAAAAATGAATTTTTAATATATATTTATAAATTATAAACTATCAAAACAATCTGTGCAAAGTGCTGGTTTCACTTAGTTATAAAATATAATTCAAACTCATTCACGAATTGTGGCTTAGTTAATAAAGCAGGCTGAACATATGAGAAAAGCTTTCGGTTCCAATCCCCACTAAACGCACCTACAGAGAGGGGCGATGAGTCTTAATTGTAATTAAGCTCTGAGCCGGATTAGGCGATTCTTAATAATAGGGTTCGAATACTGGTGATTTACACAAAAAAAAAAAAATGATTCAAACTCAACTCAAATCTTGAAATGCGAATCGAAAATCCTAATTAAACTAAAACCAAAAGAGAGATGCATATGTATCCAAATCTCTTTCTCTATCAAAACCTACCTAAAAGCTCTCTTTTCTTCTTTGATGGGCAACCACTGATGGTGGTCACTTCTTTGCTTTTTTGGTTTGTTTTTGCAAATAATCTTCATATCTGTATATAGATCTGAGTTATTATCGCCCAAATATTGAGATTTCTTGTTGCCCATATATTGAGATCTTGTTCTCATATCTAAGTTATTGTCATCACCATTATAGTAATTTTGTCTAGTTAGTGTCTTATATTATTTGGATAGTTATACAGAAAGAAGTGAAGATATCCTCTTCAATGAACTTGAAGGTAGTTAGATCGGATGATGAGAAACTTCTCAAGAGGTCATCCATCATAGGATTTCCATTAAGCGAGCACACTTAATCTTGGAGTTCTTCCAACTCTCCAAGCCATTCCATCAAAAGACACATCTGATGATTAGTTTCCCCTTTTCGATATATAATCCGATTCATTCCTGTATCCCGCATTCCACTACTCATAACTAGCTTGTCATCTTAGAATTTAACCAAGAGTTTTTCTCTACCCGCCCTCTCAGTATCGTTTTTCCGAATCGGGATGTCACAATAAATCTCTGTTCTTGTGTCGCTCGAATTTATAAACTTTTTTTTACTCCTTTTGTCCCATATATATGTAGGTTTAGTTTGACTTTCACATAAATTAAGAAAAATTAGTCAATATAGTTGAATAATATTTTTTTAAAATTATTTTTCCAAGTACTCCTTTATAATATTAAATAATGGATACCAATCAAGAATATTTAAAAAAAAAACAATAAGTGATCATTTAAAAAAGAAAATAGAACCACATTTTGAAACAAACGAAAAATAAAAGTGAGTCCATATACATGAGACCAAAGGAGTATAAAATATAAAATCAATATATCTATTTTGGGGTGATTTTAAATTAGAGTTGCGGTGGAGAGCTTGAATACGGATCCTATTTGATTTCTAATAACATAACCTTCGGATTCGGGCTAGGATCTTCGGCGAAGAGCCAAAAAATATTGAAAAAAATTATCTTGTTATAATATCAAGATTCTAGTTATTAGACTAAAATCATATTAGCTAATTATTTTATTATAAAAAATTATATAATTTAGTTAAATTAATAAGATAATGTATAATAAGTACAATAAGGTATGAACAAAAACCAACAAACAAACATGGAGGCCACCATTAATTGCTCATACCATTTAATTAACATTTAAGACCTTTTTTAAAGTTTTGTCATTTCTATTAATGATGACCTTAAATTCTGGCGTTGACTATTCACTTCCATCGTACATATGACATTGTAATAAATTTTTTTCTGAAGGGCATTTTGGTAAAATTGAGTACTTAATTAGTCCCTAGTTTAATTAAATTTTCCTTATAATAATAATAATAATAATAATAATAATATATGTTCAAATGGCAAGAACATGAATAATAAAACACCACCATATGATACTTATAATATTTAATTAACCCCTAAATATTAATATGAGAATGTTTGCTTAGGATAACTTTTAACTTCACAATCTATTTTAACCCTAAATATTGTAAAGCACATGTGATTAGTGTCAAACATATTAATTATGCCCGAGCCGGTTTATATATTTTGAGTTAATAATTATATTTATATACCCTTCATAAAATAGTGATAAGAATCATGAAATTATGAAATCATGTAATCGTGCAATCGCGAAATTATAAATCGACTTTAATCTTTTTCAAACTAACTCGATGCGATTCTGATCCGATTTTACTTAAGATTCGATTTTAATAATTATGGTTCTATAATCTTAACTAATAAAATCATACAAATCATACAAATTAATTTGCAATTTTGACAACTGTACCTATAAACTCAAGTATAAATAAATATTTTCTATTTTTCACTAAAGCCAAATCAATTGACATGCTACCTAAAATGTTAATTAATTATGTAGCATTCTAGTATAATTTCCATTAATGAGAAGGAGAAATTGCAAAAGTAATGTTATTTGTTAGCAATTGACAATTGAGAGAGAGAGAGAGAGAGTAGTTTTGTGGAGCAAAATAGTTTGTGTAAAATCCATAAATTGGAGATCCACATGTACAAATTTGTCATATAGTATTTCTTACGTTATGGGGAAGTGAAAGTGATTGTAATTGATGGCTTTGGACACCAACATGAAAATTGTCAGCAAGTCATCTCTTTATAACCTTTGTGTTTCATACAATTGTTGTTTTATCAAAATATATATATCTACATACTAATTTTGCGAGTGATTAAGTGGTATCATCAATTAATTTTGTTGCTATTTTCTTTTCTTTTTTTTTTAATTATTCTGATTCCAATTAGAATTATGCTAAATCTTTCGGTTATGGAAACAATTCCATGACTTGGAATATGTGAATTCTTCTCTTTATTATCATTTAAAATAGAAAATATATATGAACAAAAAAATCAATATCAAAATTAAAATTCTTATCATCAACTAGAGTAAACACTCTTTACTCGAAAAAATAAAAATAAAATATATATAAAAAAAATTATATTTTCAAATAATTCTATCAATACTCTAATAAATAAATGATCTATCTAGCTCGTTGCATCGCATGCTGCTCTTTTATAAGACCGACTATCAATGATCCAAAATTAGAGAGGCTGTGTTCTTGTGAAACTTTAAGCTAATTGAAGTATCATGGTTTTTCGACAACTTATAGAGTTAGATTGTGACTTGATTAATTAATGCTTTACGGCCTGATATGTTGGATTTATCGTATTTTGATTTAGTGGTTCTGGATTATAAAACTCAACTATCTAAGTTAAAGGTAATTTTTTTTTTCATTTGTTAAGAAATCAGTGAATCGAACCGTTCATATAATTGTCAAGACATCTGCTTTTGTATCTAATTTCCAATGAAGATATGTCTTCATTCTTTATTGTATTCCAATAATGTGAGCTAGAGTTATGGTTTTCCTTTTAAAAAAAAAAATTAGATGAATGTATGCTTGCATATGAACTTGAAAAGGTAGCTAAAGCATAACTATGTAAAAAGGAAATGTAAAAGTGATGATAACTATGTATTGTGACAATGAAGAATTGGATTGAATAAAGGTATTGCACCTCACCCACATGTATAAAAGTGAAAGATCCTACATCATGTGCTATGCTTCAACTCTAATAGGAAAACACCAACTAACCAATCTCAATCATTCTAATCCATGTTTCAAGGAACCATTACTCATTCTTCTCTTTGATTGGCACATCATGCCATTCTAATTGCCATGTATCAAATATATACTTGCTAACCCCATCAAAAATCAAAATATGTGCATTGACACATCAACAAGAGAGGAGAATTATAACCAACAAAATGGTGGGATCAAACCAAACAATTCTATCCACTCAATAATATAAAAAGTGATTATTATGATTAGATAAGGAGAGAACAAATCCCCATGGTTCCCAAAAAGGCATGCTTGAGATATTAAGTCAACATGAAACAAATTAGATTTTCATGTTGGAGCCTAACTCAACTAGGGTTTCCATTTGGGTCCCTCATTACTAATTATTGCTTCTTTTTATCTCCTTTTTGCTCAACTATGACTAGAAGATTCAAGATTTCATGAGTTTTGTACTTGGGTTGCATAAGAGAAATCACACTTTAGTTCAAAATTAAAACCTACAGTAAATTTTTGTTCTTTGTATTTTAAATAATCTTTCAATGCATTGTGGCAATTTGGTATTTTATGGAATGTTACAGAAAAAAAAAAATGAAATAAACACATCTTTAAAAGAATATGAAATAGTGCATTGTATGATTCAAAGTACACCTTTTAGAGGGGTAAGTGGTAGCATGTGTTAGTGAATTAAAAGGCTTTAGGGCAAGCCAAGTCATGCAAGAGAGTTGCCAGGTCATTGGAATCTAACCACATCTATAGCACATGACAAATATTAAAATTACTAATTGCTAAATTAAAGAGAGACCAACCATTTCATTAGTGAATTGCGTTAGTTGAAGAACTTAAATTAAGATATTAGAATTCAGGATGATAATTTTTTTTCCTTTTTGGAATTTATGGGCTTTTCCAGCTGGCTAATGGGCCCAATTCAAAGATAGGGGACCATTTGGTAGTTAATGATGTGGACCCAACAAACTTGTGTTCTAAACAGCAAAGCATGGTCAATCATAACTGCCCTCTAAGATAGGTTGCCACATGGGACCTTGAATAAATTATTTGCTTCTGCTCCCTTGTATTTATATATACATATATACATACACGCACATGAGATTTTCTTCAACAATATTAGGGTTCCTAAACATGGTGGTTGGTTCACAGTAACCAAAATTATGAGTGGTCAACTACCTGCATTAAGAAGAAGAAGAAGAAGAAGAAGATGGTGACAGTGACGAGTAAGACAATATACTTATCTTACATCGTATCCATCCAATAAATTTAAAAACGATAATGGCCCTGAATAAAAGTGTAAATTTCTCTAAAAAAAAGGGGTGATTTTCTAAATAATAATAAATTATTAACTGGATGTATGGACAAATAAGTATTTGTCATTCCATTGCTGGCATGGGTAGAACTTCATTGTAAATTAACCATGGATATTTCAACATAAATATGGAAAACATGCAACTCTGTGGGCAGAAATTTAATTATAAAAAATGTTTATAGCAAACTGAACATGTAGTTTTTTGATAAAGTATTAAATCTTATAATAAAGGACATTTAACATTATATACCTACCTTCTGCTTGGCATAAGGATTTACTTATAAATAAATATTGTTTACTATCTAAATTATAGAATTTATTTATAAACAATATTTTAATTTGATTAGTATTTTAAAAATAAAATGAGCATTTTCATGTGTACCAAATATGAATCATAAAATCGAAAAAATAAAATTTGCAGACTTTATTTAAATCATAAAGTGCCTCAAGAGTTCATGTAGTATCTTCTCTCTATCATCCATAGCAAACTGGCTTTAAGCTTTGAGCAATTAATCAAAAGATTAACTAATTCTTTCACCGCACCAACCGCAATTTTTGTATCGGCAAAAAAAAGTAAAGAAATAACAGAAATAAGTTACAGAAGTGATATGTTCAAGACTGTTATTCTAATTCTAACACTTTGAGACTAGTAATAATAAAACCAATCTCCATATAAAACTGTCCGCTTGACAGTTTAAATAATTTAATTTCTGTGGGACAGAGACAGGAACAAAAATGTGGCTCACGTCAAGGTTGAAGAGAACCTGGACTACAGTAGCGTTAAAATAAGCAAGCTAAGGAGGCTTTCCATGCAGCTGAACCAACTAAATATAGGAAGCACCAGCATTCTGCAAAATCAATATGGTACTTAGGAGCAGCAGCTTGAACTATATTAGGTCAAAAAAAAAAAAAAGGAAACAATTATGTAGGTGAGCATTTCACGGATCATTCGAAGTCTCAAGTCAATTGCTGCTGCTCCATGCCAGAAATACTTGCAACATCTTGTTTTTTGCTTGAAGTACCACTTAAAATTTTCTGATAGAAACCCCAAAAGGGGTTTGCCTCTGTAATGGCTGGTTGACCAAAAGGATTTTGTGCAACAAATTCTTGAACATTTTGAGCCTCTGCTAATTTTTCGAGATATAATCGAAGGTTACCTCCAGGTCCTGTTTAGAGTGTAATTAAAAAGAAAAAAAGAACAGCAGTTACACTATTAGATTTAGAACTGGGGCATCTTTTCTCATCACAATATGCAAAATTGGAATCATTTGGATAAATAGAACAGCAAAATGGTAATCTCCACAACAAGACAGCACCAGATCATAATTGACCATAAGCAAAAACTACCAGCTTAGAACTAGCAGCTAAAATACAACAAAAGCACAGGCAATCAGATACTAGTTACGGAATAATGTGTGCATGCAAAGCTTGGTGAATATTTTTTAATTTAAACAATGCTTAAGAGTCAATTTGGTTTAACTGTTGGTGCTAGCTAATAGCTGGTAACAAATGTTTATAGCAGATAGTTGATAATTGTCAGTTAATGAAAACATGTTATGGGGTAATATTTTACCAATGGTTTCTGTTAAAATATAAAATAACCATTAAAGCATAATAATTTTTATATATTATTATGTGTGTGTGTATATATACACATTATTTAAAGGTAAAAATATTGTTTTCTATTTTAACATGTTACATAAATAAACAGAGTATTAAATTAAATCTTTTATACTAATTTAGTTATTTATTATTCTTAAATAAATATAGATAAGATGACATGAAAATATTAATTTGAAAAAAAAAACATAATTATTAATAATAATTTTTTTTATAAGGTTAATAACATTCATAAATACAAATTAACTAGCAGCTTATAGGAAAAAATTTCAAAATGTAGATGATATAATTAATAGTTAATTAGAACTTCCATCATTTATCAACTACTAATTAAAATTCTTACCAAACATTTTTAGCTGTCAGCTGAATCAATCATCCCCTCAAGTAATTAAAAATTCTCAAGAAATAAAAGGATAATAATTGCTTGATTATAATGGTAAAAATTGGAATTTCAGTCATTTGACACCTAGAACCTATCCAGCTAACATAGCTGGAACAAACTAGTTTGTGATTCACATTATGGTTTTATAGATATCCAAAAACGTGGAACTTCTCCAACCTAATGAATAAACATCAGCCCAATCAAAGTTCAAGTTCCACCTAGTACCAACAATTAAAAGCATACCAGCAAACTGTGGCAAAAGAAAATTACCTATGAGCTTAGTCTCTGAACTAGCACATATAGGTTAGATAATAATGTCTCACAGCAACCTAGGTTTGTTTTGCATCTTAAATTTGCCAAAAAAAAAAAAAAAAAAAAAAAAAAAAAATCAAAGTTTCAAGTTCCACCTAGTACCAACAATTAAAAGCATACCAGCAAACTGTGGCAAAAGGAAATTACCTATGAGCTTAGTCTCTGAAAACTACACATATAGCGTTAGATAATAAATGTCTCACAGCACCTAGGTTTGTTTGCATCTTAATTTGCCAAAAAAAAAAAAAAAAAAAAAAAAAAAAATCCTTGCATCTATATTGAGAGTGTAAAAAAAAAAAAAAAAAAAAAAAAAAAAAAATCCTGCATCTATATTGAGAGTGTCTCACCTAATGAGGAATCTTTGGAATTCTTGTACTTGTATGAATAGGGAAATATAGCTGTGTTGGCCTATGAAAATTTGGCATAACAGGAAAAAAAGATAGCATCAAAATAGCGTCCAATAATTAAATCAGTCAATATATCACAAACGAGAGAGAAGAAACATACTGGATTGCTCAAAGCTTTGTATGGTGAATCATCTAACAATAATGTATTAGATTGATCATAGACTCCCTTATTCCATGGAAGATCAGGCTCAAGTTTATCCCATAATTTCTTTAATTCTTTCAAAACCAGAGGTTTGTGTGAATTCTCAAGAGTGTTGAATCCTGTATCAGTACAATGAGATTGATCCTGTAAAAAAACAATCATAATAAAATCAAAACAACAGGCACAAAATAACTATATAACAGCAATTCACAGCTAAGAGACATGATGGACTTGGAGCACCCAACAGTACTTCAAATGTTCCATAAACTTCCATCAATACAAAGATACAATATATACTCAATCCCAAAGTCACTGTAAGTCAACATCATGTCAAAGTTTTTCACACCTAACCTTTCAGAAATTTTAACTTTTAAATTCCTTTAGATGCTTAAACTTAAATATTACTCTGGTTTCAAATTGTCTAAGGTAATTCACGACAAGATGCCAAAGTAATGAGGAAAGCTGTCACATGCCAAGAGAAGCATCAACAATGATGCCACAAAGACAGTAGCTCCAACTATCAGAACCAGGCATTAAGCATTTTATGCAGACTGTAACAACTTTTATGAAGGCTTGAAACAGTCATGTTTCCATTTGGCAGAAGTTCATAAACTTTGTATAAAACAGTACAAACTTCTACTCCTTAAAATGATGCTGAATCTTCAGTCATCCTTCACACATCAACACTAGACACTATTATTCAATTTAAACAGCAAATTCAAACAAACAAAATAATATTTAAGAATCGATCCAATTTGGCGTTCAATTAGTTAAGAAACAGAATCAAACCAATAAACATTTTTCATTAATAATACAAATATCAACTTATATATATATATATATATATATATACAAAAAATATTCAACTTATATATATATTATATATATATATATATACACACATAATATATACACACATATATAGAGAGAGAGAGAGAGTATTTGGCTTTAGGTTCCCATATTAAGTTTAAGCCCAATGAAATTATGCAAACTAAATTCACCAAACAGAACCATTATATTTCAATTTAGTTTGGTTCAGTCTCTTATCGTAGAAAAGATAACAGTTATCTTGAAAAATTATATCTCCAACCAGGACGAAATTAAACTATGCAAATCCCTAATCAATTGTTTTCTAACAAAAATATTATTGGTCTTAGAATGATGCATCCAAAAAACAGAGCATGTTTCGATCACAACATACTTACCCAACAAAAAAGCAACTTATGTCTAGAATCTCCCAAGAGAAAATCAACCACCATGCGCACGTTTTTCCTATAATTGGCACGCATATGGTTAGGGCAATGAGGAAAATAAAAAAATGGTAATTTTTGTCAATGAATATAAGGAACAATATTTGCTGAAGATGAAAAACTATTAAGAAACATGAAAATGTCAGATTGCTATGTGGGTAGGACAATACTTGGTTCTTGATGACCAAACACCAACATTGAATTTCTCAAAGCAAAACTGCAGAAAATCATCGCAGAAGGGCCTTTTGAAAACTGAAAAACACATAGGAACACTGAAGTTAGGCTTCAGCTATTAAGTAGGAAATGGAAACATGGATAATCTAACTATAAAGACAACTTATGCATATCAATTTTCACCTGATTTCCCGGATATTATGATGTCAGCCTTGTATGAATCATAACAATATGGAACAATATCAGCTAGAAGTCCATTAACATCAAGGATGAGAAGTTTTTTATCAGCACATCCAGCTTGGGGTCCTTTTATTGAAGAGGCTGATGCTTTTGAAAGATTTTCCTCCTTAATAGGAACATCTATATCAGAATCCCTCTTTGCTTCAATTATATTTTTGCTTTCTAGTAACAAAAAGTCACCACTTGAACAGTAAGAGGAAGTCTTCTCTGTCAAAGCATTTTCCAAAACAGTAACTGAAGCAGCGGGCTCCCCAGCCTGTATTCTTTCTAACCTGTTCTCTGAAAGTTCAAATGAATGCACTTCATTTAAATCTGATGAAGTTTGTGTAGCCACCTTGACCGATTCCACATTTTCTCGAGTCTCAGGAGACACCCTTCTTTTCACGCAATCAATTTCCAGTTGTGCCTTCATTTCATAGTCTACCAAACCAGTGCCAGCCTCATCATTGTTGTCCAATTTATTCAACATACTTGTATTTGGACTTCTAGGGGAATCACTTCGCTCTTCCTCTACGACAAGACTCTGAGATTTATCATTAATGACAGTGCCATTAAGCTTCCGCTTCTTTCTTTTTCGCTTCCTATGTGACTGGCTCAATTCTGAAGGTAGGACTGTCTCCAGATCAGTATTAATATCAATAACATCTTCCCTTGTATTAGTATCAACTATAGATTCATGAGATGAACTTTTTCCAGTAGAATCATTCTTTATTGGAGAAGGGTCCTCCTGACAGTCTATCTGGGAATCCTGCTTAATTTTTGACTTTTTCTTTCTCTTCTTATTTTTCTTTTTGTTTGTTTGTGAACAATTTGACTCCAAATTACATTGCGAGTCCAAAACATCTGACTCTAGAATATTGTTGATTGGAGGATCTAAACTTGTATATCTTTCTAAGGATGCATTTCTCACTAAATACGATTTACTAGTAGAATCATGAATTATAACATTAACCTTATTCAATGGATCATGTACCTCACTTCTGTTCTTTCTCTTCTTCTTATCCTTACATGATATGATGTCCAACGTACATGATGCCATCTCTTGCTGATGTAACCAGAAGTAAAATCTAATTAAAAAAGTCACAAAAACCTCAGCATCTCACTCAGGACACTTCCTTTTATTCTTCAATTTTCATCAGGCAAAACCAAGAATAGCTTTCCTTTCCTCTTCCAAGCAAGTTATATAATCTTTTAGCGACTGATGAATGTTTTCTAGCTACTGACCTGCAATTGTTGATAAAAATTATTTAGAAGTCATCAAGCCGCAACTAACAGAAAAACAATATTGCAATTCCACATACTAGTAATTCAGGAGTAAAAGAAATGATAACTAACAGAAACTTGAGAATATTTCCCAACCATAGATTAGTGCTTTCCGGAAGTTCCAATGTAAAGAAAACTAAAGCATAAGAATATTCCCAATCATCTACTGAGCAAGGGGTTCACTAACATCAAGCAACTGTAATTCCACATTTCAGAAGATACACATTCAATGAACAATAGTAATAAAAATATTTAAAAGAAAAAAGAAACATTATACAACTAATTCACGCTTAATAATCCAATAATCACTATAACATTCAAAACTTAGTTACAAAACTCTACTAACTTCTCAAGCACTACAAACTTCCAAGAAACCACCTAAATAGGTTTGGTTCTAATCTCAACAGCGAAAACAAAACTAAAAAAATCATGAAAAAAAAAAAATTTAGGCAATTTAAAAGAGTAATAACAATAATGCTTATTAAAATGGAACAAATCAGAACAAAAAATGCGAAACAGCAAGTTGCATCTTATCTAAATGTTCTATCACAGAAACAGAGTACGGACGAAAGTGAAATTAAAAAAAAAAAAAGTTGCTGCTGATTGAAGAATTTGTGGACTCACCGTAGAAAGAAATCCAGCCACCGGAAGTGAATTTGGAAGAGAAGAGAGAGGAACTAGCGGTTTTTCTTTTTTTTTTTTTTTTTTTTTTTTTTTTTTTTTTTTGTTTTTTTTTCCAGATATATGGAAGCCAGCAGCGACTTTCTGCACACGAGAGAATAGATGCGAAGACCCCAGAAGTTAGTTTTGGGATATTTAATGTTTTTTTTTTTTTTTTTTTTTTTTTTTTTTTCCAGATATATGAAGCAGCAGCGACTTTCTGCACACGAGAGAATAGGAAGCGAGAGACAGAAGTTTTAGTTTTGGGATATTTAATGTGTTGGTGCTCCTGATTTGTACTAAATTAATGAATCGTCGTTTTCGGGTTTACAACAGTAGAAAAACTCGGTAATTTCCTGTAAAAGGGCAAAAGGTAAATAATTATTCACTTATTGTTAGATTATATCTTGTGTTCTCTTCTTTTATATATATTGATTACTCTATGAAATTTAATTTTATTAAACTATTTAATAGTTCACCCAAAAAGTATTTTTACCATTAAATAAGATATAATTTGATTAATTTTCTAATTGATGTGAATAGTAGAAAATTTCGTATTTTTTATTACAATACTATATAATATTTCTTATACTCAAACCCTATTTTAATGTAATATTTCTGACTCGAACGAGAAATTTGACTCAAACCCATCAAACTTAAGCGATTCATGACCCATTTGAACTCTTGTGAAATATGAAATTAATCAAACTCATTTGACATGTAAAATTAAGAGTTAGTTGTGGGTTTTAAATTATCCCAGTTATATATACTATAAGTAAAAATAAAATATACTTTTAATTGTTTTAATTTTTTTTTCTTCACACTAATTTTATATTATATTATATTATATTTTTGAATCTCTCATATATTTAAGAATATTTTAAGAATGAGATATAATTTATGTATCACCATGTTGAAGGACAGATTTACTACTAAAATAAGTAAAAATAATGAGTAGGAGCACACTCCTGTAGTGATAACTAGAGTGCGAAATGGAGCAACACAACATTCCCATTTAAATTCAGCTTATTAAAAAAAATTACAAGAAATATTCTATGGTCAAAACGAAATAATAAAATGCATTTTTATTAGCTGGGTACAAACCCTTTTTTTTTTTTTTTTAACCTTGGTTAATTAAGCTGCTCCGAACTTCATCATCCTGAAGACAACTCTAATTTATTAGGAGAGTCGGAAATGGGGAAAAAGATACTAGAAAAACAATATAAAGCAAGTTTTATAACAACCAAAAACTTCACAGCTAGAAATAGTCTAGGAACAATATCACTGAGGAAGAAGAGCAGCAGATGGCAGAGAGAAGCATTTTAGATCCAAAAAGCAGAAATCTTTTACCAGTACTACCAATTTGAGAAGAACAAATACCCAGGTAGTAATACAAATATGGACTGGCACTAACCAGCATCAATCTTGATATCACATTGGCATCGACAATCAAAAACAAGAATCCATCCTTGACCTGGTTCTGATCTGATCTTGCTGCATTCATCCTCCATATAGAGAGCTCCATCAAAGTTTCCTCGAGCAAATGTTTTAAGAAGACCCTCCATATGTTTCGTGCACTCATCACTGGCTAAACACTCACATTAACACATGATGCCTATTGGTAGCACCCAGCTTCATGTAAAATAATAGAATATCACAAAATCAAATCCATCAGCTGATAAAATCTATGGGAAAGGACGAGCTTACTTCACATTGATAGATGATAATAGACTACGATGAATATGTTCAATATATTCCTTATACACATACCATGGCGATTAGGAAGTAGATAGAGTCGAAAAATGAAAATTCCAAACCTAAATCAAGGCAGAAGACTGAAAGTTCCCTCTTTGTTTCTCAATTTAGTTATTCAACACATCAGCTTCACAATTTGGCATCATCTCTCTAAAATGATTAAATAGCTAATGAATTAAAAATCAGCTACATGCATAAATTCATTCTTATACTTCGAAAACGAAAAAGAAAACCTTATGGCACTCTCAACTTTTACCTTTAACTTATTGAATTCTTAAATTTATAAAATTACACTTATTAAACACTTCAACTTGCAAAACATTTTTTATTAAACATTCCAACTTGTAAAGCTAGACCAATTAAACACTTATTAAATAGTTAAAAAATGTAAAAATTGTTGTTCCAAAAGTTGTAATAATCACACATCAAATTAATATTTTATATATAAATGCCAAAGGTACCAAAATACTATGGTTGTTAGTATGGAGAGTTGTGCAATGTTACCAAAATTTATTACTTTAGGAGCATAATAGGTCCATTGCATAGTTTGGAGTGCCACAATTTTTCTCGTGTAAAGTACAATGGCGAATTTGTGTGTTTGGCTATTAAAAATCAAATATCAATTCCCCCATCATGACTTGTGACCATAAAACATCGGGCAATATACAAAGAGATCACTAGAGAGCAGAATTGCTACAGATAAAATAGAAGGCACAACAATTATATGTAAGGAAGCACATTACATACACATTTTGGAGCTCCCTCAGAACTTTCCTGAGGTCGATAAAGGATCCATCATTTAATTCATCTTGTCATGGACCTCTATATATTCCTGTGCTATAGCAGGGACAAGCCTCATCAAATACCAGCAATCTACTAAATGGCAACTCAAAATTTTCAATTTATTCTCACAGCTCCGTAGCTTCGACCAAGTTCCAGGGCTCCAAATTCCGATGGCAGAGAAGTCCAGAGTGGAAATTCAACCAAGTCAAAATCATCAATTAAAACCATTGGAAACATTGACTTCTACCCTTTGGCATACTTATCCACATAACCCTGCAAATCATAGTTAAATAATCAGGGAATCAAAATTATGTCTAAATTGAGCTGAACAGGGGAAAAAAAAAAAAAAAAAAGAAATGCTACTCTATTCACCTGAAAAGTAAATTTAATGCTTCTTTTTCTAGCTAGACTAAGATTTATCTATTACAACAGATGTGCACATTCATTTTCTAAAAGTAATTTGCCATAATAGCCTCAGCACAATCTGGACTTATTTTATCATGAACAAGCATTCAATGCAATTTGTCATAATTAGGTGCCTTTCAGTTGGGGTCATTCTTTAGTGGAAAAGAGTATTGGAACTGTTTAAATTTAATATTGTCATAAAATGCACTATCTGATCAATAAGACCTCATAAAACAAAGCTTAATACCCATATTCTGTTGAACAATGAAGTATCTAATTTATCGTGCACAAGCTTAAAACATACAAAATCCAAAATCGAACTCAAAAGACAAAGAAATGACTTCTTTGCAATACTATATCATTTTTGATTTCTCATCCTTGATGGATTGGCAAGCATACATTCATGACCACTTGCATAGGGGGCCAGTAAAAGGGTGGTTGTTGGACTGTTTTTAAAACAAGTGACACTGATGCATGTTATCCAGACAAACTGCTTCAACAAAGTTTTAAGAAGAAAAGATCCAAAATCAATCACGTTTTTCCTGGGGACAAGTCATTGAAACTCAATAAGTAGACGTATAAGAGAATCTCAAAAAGATTATGGAAGCCTTATCATTCAATAGATGCCGGATGATAAGTCATATATCTCCAAGGAACAAGCATGGTTTGCAAAACTCAAAAGAATCCCTTTCCAATTATCAGTTGTGACAAAGATTGAAGCATCTGGGGCATAAATGTATTTCTAAACATGTTTTCACTCAATTTTTTATTTTACTGATTTATTAAGCAAAAGCTCGGTTGGCATGCATTTGTCCATTAAGTCATCTAAGAGAAGAAGCAAAAGCCTAAAGAAAGGACTTACCATCACAAGTTTCATTAATTTCCTCTGTGAAGAGTCAATATATTGGTTTATCTTTGCTTTAGACTTGGGCATCTGGTGGCTCTTCATTGCTCCTGACACCTTATCAACAGTCTTCTTGACGACAGTCTTGAATGTTTCTTTACTCATGTTACCCTGTCTCCATGATGGCTTTAAAACTTCCTTTACAAAATCTGCAAGGCAAGCCTTGAAAAGCTTCATTGACCTGGACTCCTTGCTCTTCTTGCTCTTCTCTGGGGACTTAATCTGGTCAATCTCCATCTCACCTGTATTTGTGTTTGTTAAATCATTAGGATTACTCTGGCTTCCATTTTCAATATCACCAACTTCTTCATCTGCTGTCTCGCCAAATTCCTCATTATCAAGAGATGTAGCAAGCGCAAAGCCACCCGCATCTTTCTTCTTGTTGTTCTCTTCCACATCCAACAATTGATTTGAGCTTTTGAGCAACTTTATATCAGACTCACCAGAGGGTTCCCACTTCTGAATACAATCTGATTTCCTGTATGCGTTTGAAGATGGCTCAATGCTGTCAAAGAGTGGATCATACTGATCACCACCTGATCTAGGATTAAGTTTACTGAGACCCCTGGCAGGAGTTGGTGAAGTTGACAGTCTTGATCCGGCACCTCCATCAACTGAAGCATTGCTCAAACTTAAAGGATGATCATGCTTGCTACCAGGGGTTGTGTCTTTTTCTTGCCTGAAGACATCAGAACTGAATCTGGAGCTGAGTGGCTTCTCAAAAGTAGATGCGTAAGGATTAAAGTGAGTTGACTTTGGTACTCCAAATTCAGGCAGATGTGATTGCTGATTTCTGTCTTGAATATCTGGTGGATATCTAGAAGAAGTGATTTTCCCTGGCAGACCATAGACACTATCAGGCACCGCATGATGCAAACCATGGGGTGGCCATTCCTGCTGTGAATATGGACGAATCTGAGAAGTAGACTTTCCAATCTCTCCAGGATCACCAGAAAATGATTGCATTTTGGTTGCAGACGCTTCCTGTGGAAAGGACATAGGTAGAGGGTAATTGTTGCTCCGAGTAATGGAGCCTGAAACACCTAAAGGATGCATTGGAAGCTGTTTCAAACGCTCTTCTCCAAAAGTAGTGGTACCTCCAAATTGTTGGCCAGATAGATTGCATCCAGGCAGAGCCTTCAACCTAAAATCTTCCACTTGTAATGGAGCCTGTTGAGGCTCTTGCACTGGAGGGTAGGCTCGATGCTGGAAGTCACCAACCTGAGGATTACCAGACAATTCAACTGAGTATGGTCTTGAGAACATCTGAGAACCAAATTCACCCTTCGGAGGCATGCAACTCTGCTGAAATTGCAGAGTAACACCTGGTTGTGTAGTTCCTACATTTATGGTTGGACCATGTGGAGGTAATAGCGGGGGTGGGGGAGGTAAGGATACAGAAGAGGAATATGGTGGTACAGGAAAAAGAGAATTTTGATTGGGCAACATGTAAGATGGAAAACTTTCTAAAGGAGCAGATTGAGAATGAAATTCTGCAGTTTTTGGTATCAAGTTATAATCCCTCGATAGCTGCGTTGTATGTGAAGCATTATTACCTTCTGCAGTTGGAGCAGAAAGAGGAAAAGGGGGCATCTGGGAGGGATTATGTAGAGAATCTGCAGAATTTGGAAGAGTTTCACTAGCATGAAGCTCCTTTGGAGAAGTTCTAGATATTTTATCTGGAGATGAATCAGATATAGAAGAATCATCGGTGTGCAGCACAGGGTGATCAACATCTTGAAGCACTGGATCTGAAATAAAAGACTGAGGTTGCTGAATAACAGAGTCCTCCAGAGAGGGAAATAGATTCTTACAAGTTTCACCAGTTGATTTCAGGATGTTAGCAACAGTTGAAGGTTTAGAAGGAAAACTATCAACAACTATTGGCTGGTCTGATTCCATCACTTCCTGAAAATTCCTATCCACAACAGTTGTACCATTTGCAGACTTCTCTTTAACTATTTTAGTTTCTGGCACTTTAGTAGCAACCACTCTAAAATTGTCAGATTTAATTATGATAGGATCTTCTCTGTTGTGAAATATGGTGTCATCTTTGGTAGCACGACTGCCACTAGCAGATATATCATAATTGCCCCCCATTTTCTGCTCATGATCTGATACCTTTAATGAGAATTCATCTTTACGATTCTTTGAACTGGGATGAAGTTGCTCTGATCGTTGCTTGCTCCTATGATTCCTTGACCCATCATTTTTCTCAGAATCATGGTGCATATAGCGACATGATGCTCCACGGTAGCACCTGCCTCGGAGGAAGTCGAAACATTCTGGGATTTGACCTTTTCCCCGTCCTGTAATGCCATTGTTAATCTCACCAGCATGCCTGAAAGAGGGAGACCTGCTCCTACTTCTTCGATTCCTGGGAGACCAGCTAAACAAATACCAAGAGATTCAACCTCTTCCAGAGATGATGAGAAAAAAATATGAGCTAAAAGCACAGTAAATACCCTAGGATTTCTAAACCACTAAAAACGTAACAATACAACAAATACACAAACACTTTATCCTTACCTGCGAGATCTACTTCTCTTTTCTCTTCTCCTCCGAGGACGACTCCTACTCCTCCTACTCCTACTCCTCCTCCTCCTCCTATATGGAGGTGATAGGCTCCGGCTCCGGCTCCGGCTTCTCCCTCTTTTATTACGCCTTCGAGCAAGGTGTGAATCATCAGAATCACTATCACTAGCACCTTCTTTGAACAGTCTTCCAAACTTATCTATTTTCGGTGCATTTGAAGTACTTTTATCTTCATTTTCTTTCTCATCTTTACTTCTAGAAGCAACTTTTGCCCATCTACCTTCCGAGGCATCTTCTTTTGGTAAAGCCTCGAGAGAACCACCAAGGGCAATAGATTGCGGGTTTTCGCATTTGGTATTAACAAGTTCAGCTGTCAATCCACTTGAAGTAGATGTTGGCACATTGTCCTTAAATTCTCCTTGTGAATCTGAGGCAAAGTCTGAAGGTCTATATAATTTGCCAAATTCAGAAACCTGCCCAAATTCCCTTTCAGTCTTGTAGGGACTCCTAGACCCAGTATCTATCTTCAAATTACTTCCAGTATCTGCATGCAGATATTCACCAACAGCAAGTAATGTTGAAACTGTTTCACGATTGGCATCTTTTAGACATGGATCATTGTCATTTTCTGAGCTGTCATTAGAATCATAGTCCTGTAGGAGTCTAAATGGGCTACTGCCTTTTATTTCTTGACCAGGATATTTGTCAGAATTTATGCATTCAGCAGCTGCTGCAGAACTGGATGAACTTTTACTATTTGCCGAGGGTGTAGAAGAATTCACTCTCTCACTGGAAAGCATATATTCAGAAGCTCCAGTTGGATTATTAACTGGGCTTTTAACTCTGGAAACTGAACTCCCAAATCTCAAGTCATCACAACTGGAGTTGAATTTTGATCCTGTGTATTACACCCAAGATAAACTCATTAGTTAAGCAACATATAAAAAGGTCACTCTAGTAAATTTAATACAAATAATCCAAAACTACATGAAACTTGCTTGAGCCACTGGTAGCAACTATTAACATTAACAAGGAATATACAACAAAATCATGAAGCAGCCAGTTTATTAATAGACAAATTAAAAGCTCCACAATATATAATTCACTCATTGACAACAAAGAATGCATATCAAAGAGGACAAGATGGCAGAAAATGCTTAAATTGATCTTTAAAGAAAAGCCAGAGCATGGGAATAAAAATTTACCCTGTTCACCCAGTTTTGTGGAGCCAGAGAATAAGAAGTCATTATCAGATAAAACTAATGTTGCTGCCTCAGATCTCGACGAACTTGACAGCGCATGTAACTGCTTTTTTGCATCAAGTTCACTGCTTACTGGATCAGTAGCTTGAATCAGACGTTCAGTTGGCTGATTCACTGAATGGTCATTGTAAGACATGGTGATATCATCTGAAAGCACCAAACCAGAAAAGAAAAACAATCAACAACTTCAGCAATGCAACTGAAATGCACAAAAAAAGTTAAGAATTTAAATACAAAGTATATTTGCCCATATTACATTAGTCTGCATGTAACTCATTTCTTCTATGAACTGAGACAAAACTAAACAATTCCGGGAAGTTACACAATAACATTGGCAAAGGCCACTTACTGCCACATGGGCATGGGACAGACAAAGCACATGTTATGTATGTTACTACATAAGCTTAAACATAAAGATTGAGACTGCAATTGGATAGAGAATTGAAATCAAAGGATTCGAATCTGTGTTTTTTTTTTTTTTTTTTTTTTTTTCATGGGACAGACAAAAAGCACATGTTATGTATGTTACTACATAAGCTTAAACATAAAGAATTGAGACTGCAATTGGATTAGAGAATTGAAATCAAAGGATTCGAATCTGTGTTTTTTTTTTTTTTTTTTTTTTTTTTTTTGGAAACTTTTTTTTTTTTTTTTTTTTTTTTTTTGGAACTTTTAGTTCAAAATACCACTTTATTTAGTTTCAAACGAGATAGATTCTTCTAGACAAATGAAAGGGAAGAGAGGAGGCGTTGAAGGGACAATCTCTGAAAATCTTAATAGACTTAAAAAATTCCAAACACAAACATAAACAATAACATTAACCTTCCATTTCCATGTCAGAATCAGCAGGTGAATGGGCTTCTGCTGGCTTAGGTGGAGGATGAGGAACATCAGGTACCACAATTCTCTTTGACGTTAAGGCATCTCCCCCAAGATTATCTACCCCACTGCAACTTCCGCCTTCCAGAAAACGACTGCTAAGATCCGTAGAAAAATTATGTGCAGGAATATTATGCTCATCTTTATTAAGAGAATTCACTTCATTATAAGAAGTGCCTGATTTGTTGCCAGATTGTGTACTGGAATGGAGATCAGACTGACAAGCCAAGTTGGAACCAGAAGGGAGAGGGAAAGACATTGACGCTGGGGAAGAGACAGGTGATGTTGAAGGTGGAACTGGTGGCTGCGGTAGTGAGGGAGCCACTGAAGACATTTGAGAGTTTCCAACAGTTGCCTCTGAAGTACTCACAGATAAGGCGGAAGTAGAAAAATTAGACGTGGGAGGGTGAGGTGGGGGTGGTGGAATTTGCTGTAGACCCTGCACAAGAGGTGGCAGCTGAGGCGACTGATGGATTGGAGTTTTATATAATGTCTGACCATGTGAAGGTGGAGGGGGTAAATTTCTCGGAGGCAATTGGGCATGTGAACCAGGAGGAGGGCCAGGAGCTATATAAGAATGTTGTGGATTTTGTTGTGCAGTGACATATATATTTGGTAATGGAGCACTCCCATGAATTGCAGGCGGTGGATGCAAATAAGGCTGACCAGGGCTCGGCATCCCTCTGGGTGGAGCTTGCCGAACGGTAAGATGAGGTGCCAGAGGACCATGCTGATATATATGCATGCCAGGCTGACCAGGACGAGGTGGGACTTGAGTTAGCGGCAGCAGAGGACCGTGTTGAAAATTGAGAGGTAAAGGAGGTGGCAAAGCCGGCAAATGCTGCAAATACGGAGGTGGCCTGGGTGTCTGAGGTCCTTGTCTAGATTGAGCATCATAACTGCCTTGACTGTACATCTCAAATTCTGCAACTTGATAACTACCCTCCAAAATTTTCCACAAGAAGCGCAATGGAAATCAATAAAGAGCTTGAGTAGTATATCTGACAAAAAAAGAAAGAAAGAAACAAATAAGAAGCTTCTTATCAACCCAAAAACAATTATCAAGCAAAAAGCACCAACCAACCCAATCATCAATAGAGTAAATAAAAAATAAACAAAATTGGAAGCAAAAAAAAAAAAAAAAAAATAAACAAGAATTGGGGAAGCAAAAAAAAAAAAAAAAAAAAAACCAATCAATCAATCTCCAATTGAAAAAAAAAAAAAAAAAAAAAAACCAATCAATCAATCTCCAATGCCATCACCATTTACATCAAGACCTGCAGTAACCAAATAGCAGAAACTCAAAATTCACTTTTTCTACATTCCTAAACTTAATGGGCAGTTCACATATGTGGTAGAGAATACAGATTCAATGACTACTATACGTGCAAATTTATGAACAAACATGAGAGAATCAATAATCAATCATACAAGAAAAAAAAATCAAGTTATGAATGAACTTACCGATCCACAATGAGATATAAATAGGAAATAACAAACCCTAAAGGTGGAGAATTTGGAAAACTGTAGCATTGATTATAGGTTTCCTTGGGATTTAGTCAGGTTGCGAAGAAGTCTGATTTTAATTTTTATAAACCCTAATATAGAAGAAGAAGAAGAAGATGAATAAGAAGAAGAAGCTCTTGGAGTCATGCTATTCTGTGTAAGGTATTTTCTTTTATTCGGTTATGTGTAACTCAGCGTGAGAATAAAGAAAAGTCCTCTAGAATATAATTTCCATATAATAACTATGTATTGAATTAACTTAAACTCTTTAAATGTGGATAATTGAATTTAAAAACATTTATTTAATGATGTGATGTCCATGAAACGAATCATTTATTATTCAAGGTTTTTTTTTTTTTTTTTTTTCATTAGGAACCAATAGACCACCCTAAAATAATCGCCCAATTGAAGAATTTCAATCATTTTAATTTATTTTGAAAAGAGTTTAAATATATTAATTTATATGGCAGCTATCTTCCAACACAAACGAAAATGGCAGGATTTTTTTTTTTTTTAATCACGGTTGTCCAAAGTTCATTGACCTAATTGATTTGGATTCGGAGGCAAAGTTTATTATGCGGGAGGAAATATTATATATCAATAAATAAGCTATTTGAAAGCCAATCAGTTGTGCCTAGTTGATTTTCTCACCTACTTGAGAAATGAAATGTCTTAAATTCGAGTCATTTCGGCTACGATTATTTTCATCGATTTAGTGAATTAAAAGGGGATTATCCCCTATTGTGCATTGTCCCCAAAGACATCAGCAAAGATCAACTATGATATACCTAGCTAGCAGTCAAAGTATTTTTTTTTTCTTTTTTAATTTATAAAGCTTTAAAAACCAGTTGGAATTCAAGATGTCTTCTTTTATTAAGGGTTTATAAACCTTTAAAAAACATTTAAGCCGTCTAAATTGATTCAAAATCATAATTTAAAATGAAAAAACATATATTTATCTTTAAAAATGTTTAATAATATAGATAATATTTCAGAATTATTGTGATCCTCATAACTTAGTTCAAACTTAATGTTGTGTATCTAAGGTATTTAATAAAAATGTAGCCCATAATTTAATTTTTATACTAGAGTTATTTATAATCCTGTAATTTCTAAGTTGAATTTTATTTATGATATTCAAATATAATTCAAATTTTAAATTATATATTAAAACTATATTTGTAATCTCAAATAATTCTATTTGTTTAAATATAGCTTTTGTAATGCTAAAAGGTTAACTCAAAATTATGATTTTGTATTATTAGCCATTCATAAACTATGTAAAGTTGAAAACAACAATGGTGATCTTTTAAACTACTTTGAATAGTTGTATCTCTAAAACAAAAAATACTTTGAATAATTGCATTTTTTTAATTTATAAAATTTGGTAAGTAGTTCGAATAAAAAGATTACGAACAGTCAAACCAAACAAACCTTAAGACCTTCAATTCTTTCAAACTAAAAAAATGAAAAGGTAAGTAACCAACATCTAAAACAATCACGCTTGTTGAAGTAGATAACAACATATTTTTCACTGAAAATTTTATGGCAATCAATATTTATTAAATACTTTAATTTATAAAATGTATTAAATAGGTCAATTTATAAACTAATTTTATTAAAAATTCTCCAATGTATAAAATTACACTGATTGAATACTTATCCAACAATTAAAATTGTAAAAATTACTATTTTAAAAAATTGTATTAAACGACATTTTAAATAAATATTTTACTTATAAAAATCAAAAATCTTAAAAAAAATTATTGTCATCACTACAAAGAACTGTGCTATGTTATTAAATTTCGTGATTCTAAGAGTGTATAATATTTGGATGCCACGATATTTATAACAAAAAATAATATGGGTAAATTTATATGTTCGCTGTTATTAGTTTAATAGTTTCATTTAAATATTTATTGTGTTTAGAGTTGCAAAATGAACTCAAATTTGATTTTATTAACGTTTTATTTATTTATTTATTGGTCCTTTTGATGTGTGTGTGTTTTTTTTTTTTTTTTTTTTTTTTTTTTTTTTTTTTTGACAGTATTAGGGTATAAGAGACAGAATATATAATTGAATCTGCCGAGAGTGCGTTGATACTCAGTATCCATCAATTATTCAAGTCTATTCCACCGGTAAACAACTCACCACTTAATGCATACCAAGATGGTTCAATCAAATCCTAGGTTCTACTACCTTTAGGCGTACTCATTTAGACATATTATTAGTGGTGAGAGTGTGCTTATACTTTATCATAAATAAAATAGAGGATTGGCGAGTGTGTGTGGCTGGTTTTCTTTATACAAAGCCGTGGCATACTAATGGTTTTGAAAGTTAACCATTTCTTATCCTAAGTTAGAGATAGAAGAGAAAATGTCACAACACTAAAACAATTTCTGATTTTGTAAGAAATGCCAGATTTTTTTTTTTTTTTTTTTTTTTTTTTTGAGTATTAGGGAAGGGGGTTTTTGAATCTGAATCTGTAATTAAATTATAATTGCATTTATCACTAGGCTATACTTTAGCGTACTCATTTGATATGTTATTTCATGCTTCTTTATTTATTAAAAAAAAAAAACTTCATTTTGGTGTTTCTTTAATCTCTTGTTTTGAAAGTTAACCATTCTTATCCTAAGTTAGAAGATAGAGAGAGAAAATGACAATCCAAAAATTTGCATTTAAAGGTAAGATACCTTTTTTTTTTTTTTTTTACCAAAACAAATAAATTGTAAATTTTTTGAATAAAACTTATGTGGATATATAAACTACTCACTCTCTCTCTTCATTTATTTCAAATTATAATATTTTTTTTCCATAAGATGATATATTTTATTGTTTTTTTGTTGTATATTCATATTTAATATATGCCCATTGATTCTTGTGCTAAAATAATAAATGCTGATCAATTATTGAAATATTTTAATAAAAGTCACTTAATTATAATTAAATAATTAAAATGATATACTAATTAATACAATAAATATATATTAAAAAAGAGGAAAAAAATAAATTCGTCCTTAAGATATAGTCTAATTAACGTACCAAACAATTATGACATCATTAACTTATAATTTAGCATTTTAGTCTTTCCATAAAAAATAACTTATTATAAATTAAGAAATTGATTCCTAAATTAGGATCAAATTAACTATAAGGCTCCGACTTACAGTTTCTATTAATAGTTTGATCATTCTCCTGTGATTTTCTTTAACACATTAATATCTATTTTGAACGAAAAAATTAAAGTGTTAAATCATAATTTAGGACTTTATCCATTAATTTGATTATAATTTAGAGATAATTTATTATTTTTTATAAAAAATAAATAAATATTACAGTTTAACTATATTTGTTGTATTTTCTTAATTTGTCTAAAATTTAAAGTAAGGAGGGAAGTTTTTTTTTGTTTTTTTTTTAGAAAATTTGAATTAATGTCCTCCAAAAGCAGAAACTTAAAATAACGTAATTCAAAAATTATTCAAAATTTAAAAAATAATAATAATAAAATTGGGCCCATTTCATTTTTAATTTTAAATTCCTTGCTCTCTCACTTGCTTCGCCTCAGATCTGATCCAAAGAACCATTTACAGGTTTGTGCAACTCTCTCCCTCTCTCTATCTCTTAACGATTTCTGAACTCTTTCTGTTTGTTTCGCTTGAAAATTTGAGTAAAACAAAGGGAAATCAAAAGGATTGTGCCTGCTTATGTTTTCTCGTGGACCAAACAGATCTGCACTTCTCAATTTTCTCGGAGAGTTTCATTGGTTGCATGCGATTTTCTGTTTCTTTTTATCGATTGGTTCTCTTAAATCATGATTGGGTCTATTAGGTTCTATCATTTTCGCTCTCTGATACAGACATTGCATGTTAATTATTGTCAATTTTCGTACATAGAGCTCAGATTATGTGAAAATGGCACTTGTTTGGTTAATATGGGAGTTTAAGATCTTACTTTATTATAAATTTGTTCAATTAAGAAAGTTAATAGCGAAATTATTATTTAAAAAGACTGTCTGAATCTTTTTTCAAACTAAAATATTTAAGTAATGTTATGCTGCTTTTGTTAGTTGATGACTATAATTTATTTATCTTTTTTGTGATTTCAATTCCCGATTTCTAGTGCAGGAAATTTTGAAAATGACAGTCAGGAAATAATCATGTATCTATGGTCTGCATAATCTGAGTTTGAAAATTCTTGAATATTAGTTGTTTTTTTGTTGGTTAAATGCATATTTTTTTTCTCTGTTGCTGGTTTCATGAAGTGAGGATATGTTTGGTATGCTGTAATGTAATTTATCTTGATTACATTACATTATGGCATAATACCAAACGGAGCCTGAATTTTCATTTATGCTTCTTTGCGTATATGCTAATCAGTTGGGTATTCACTTTTTTTATTTTTCGTTTCTCGAATGGATATTGTATTTGCAGATCCTAGGCTCGGTCATATAAAAGTTTCTTAGGACAATGGGTCGCGGAGTGAGCAGTGGTGGAGGACAAAGTTCTTTGGGCTACCTTTTTGGAAGTGGAGAGGCTCCAAAAGCAACTGCTAATAATGAAGCTCCTCAGAATGTGGGACAGGTTGCAAACAATGTACCTGCTCAAAAGCCCACTCCTGCTGCAGCACCTGGAGAACCCACCAAGCAGATTCCAGCTGGTGTCCCAGCAAACACCACAAACAACTATTTTCGTGCTGATGGCCAGAACTGTGGCAACTTCCTCACTGTAAAGTTCTTAGTTACATATAAATGTTCCTGCAAGTTAAACATGTTTTGCATCAGTTATCTATTACTGGTATGGATAAATTAGTATCACATAGCCAGTCTACACTTTGCCTTGCTTTTGTATGAGGCAAGATTTATTTTCTGAATCAGAATTTGAACATATATAAAATTAGTATCATGTGCATGTAGACTGCCATTGGATTTTGTTGACATCCCAATGTTCTCATTGTTCATGTCAGATGTTAGGGTGAATCCCTTGAACATCCTATTAATAAAATTGCTCTGGAATAGGGTGCATAAAATTAGCTGGTAAGTAATGTGTTTAAATTGCCAATTAGTTTACAGTTGATCTCCTCTGCTAGGTACTTCTGGGCAACTCCTGGATGGTCAGTGATGTTGGCAATATGCAATATACCCATTTAGTAATGATTATGAATGAAGAAAACTCTAGAATAGCTCGTCCATGTCAGACATCATGATTGTTATGCATAATTTAATAATGATCATGTTAATTCCCTTGCTGATAAATGCTGACAATTTAAGGTATTGAGGCATTACGGTTTAACTGATTTCTAGAAGTAGATGGTGTAGATGCAGGAAAGTGATCATTTTCCTTGATTTCTGACTCCAGTTCTTGAGATTGAACTTATGAATTAGATATCTGCCATAGTGTGGGTGTCTGCATAGCATTTGTGTTTTTTGAAGCACGGTAAAGTATTGGTGACTAGAAAGAGTGAGGATGGTAAACCCTTTTCCTGCATCTCAAGAGGAGGAATACTACCATTTCATAGGACCGCAGCTACTCTTGGCAATAGGCATGGCCCTCAACATGTCTGCGTCACCAAGACACTAGGCTAGTTGGCTTGATGGTCTGTTTATTACGAGATATTACCAGAAGATATCTTTTCACTTTCCCTCATTAAATCAAACAACACGTCTCGAATCGTATTGAGGAAGTTATTGTTCTGTTGTCTAGTTTTTGGATGGATTCATATAATTTAAACATATTCGAATGAAGATTATTGGATGGACACCGTTCAGCACCTGATGTTGTGGAATTTTTGTTTACAGGATAGGCCTACAACAAAGGTCCATGCAGCTCCTGGCGGCGGTTCTTCACTAGACTACCTGTTTGGTGGTAATGGGAAGTGAGGCATCATGCATAGCTGCTGGGGCGATTGCTGACTATTGCTGCAGGGCTGTTTGAATTGCAGGACAAACAGCATTTTAACATGTTAAAACTGGAAACAGTTAATCTGTACTTGCATAAGACATACTACCCTAAGAATGGGCTTTTGATTCCTTTTGTACAACTTATGAATGCATTATGCTGAACATCCATATTACCATTTCTGAAGCCAGCATTAGCTTATTATCAATTGAGCCAATTCTATAATATTTTAGTTTCTATCTCACTGGTAGTTGGCTCTCATTCTGCCATTGCGTAGTCTTTTTCATTTCATTTTTTATTTTTTAATTTTAATGATTAATCCTTGATTTATCTCAACATCAGTACCAATACGAAGCATTGATTAATAATAGATTATATTAGTAATTACCAAAGTGAAACAAAATTCTCACGACGCAAGAATAAAGTTTCTGTCAACAAATTAATTCAAAATTTCGAAATTGCAGCCCTGCTTGCAACATCCACTTGATTTTGAGGACAAAGTACAGACATATGATCAAAGGTAACATTACCTTCCCACATACATAATTTAGTCAACAATTGATAACAATTGATAAAAACTTCATAGCGAAAGAAGAAATATCAAGAATAGAAACATCGATACCTCTACAAAAAGGTATCCCATAATTTACTTACTTCCAGAGAAAGAATTACAAAGAAAATGAAAATTTCGTGGAGTCTGAAACTATAACCTAAAAGACATTAACAAACATTTCTGAAGCTATTTGGAGCCCCAGTTGAGCTAATTTGAGAACAAACTAATAATAATAAAAAAAGATACCCGATTGCAGTCACCGTTTTTTTTTTTATAAGCAACCTCTTTTCCCTCCTCTCTTCGTAGTAAGTAGTTGAATCTGAAGTAGTAACTAATCAAGATATTGCAAATTTCATATAAACAAAAACACAGCTACTTATAGCTTTAGTCAAATCATGGTATTAGAACAGCTAATGTTTAGAAGAGACTATTAGTCAGCGCAAAAAGGCAAATGTAAGAACTAGAAGGTGGTGGATCACACCAGTTAGAGAGTAGAATTTGTATATCACCAGTCAAATGCACCTATGACCACCTTTTAAAGTCACTTAATGTACAGAGGCAGGCGGTGGTTTCTGTCGAGCCATTCCAAAAAGGGTTAATTGTTCTTCAATCAAATTGATTTCCCACAGTCATCCCCTACTGCACTGGTTACTTCAACAGTTGGTGTCCTGCCATCTGTCAACAGCAATCAGTTGATAAAGCCCGTCAAACAATTATATTATAAACATTAATCCATCTCTGTCTTCACTGCTATAGTAATATATTAACAACCTTAAACCCCTCAAGTTATGGACTAAGCAATACAACACAATATTATGAGAAAAAAAAAAGTCTGTTTGCTCCACACTTCAGTACTGTAGACATTTTGTGCTTATGAAGCAGATATTCACTGTAAGGCAATGAGCTTAATATGTGCACAAAACCTTTTCAACAAGCCTTGAAACAGCTTATTTTCCTTAAGAGATGCAAAATCAAAACCTTAACTCAGCCTTCAAAACTGATTCCCAAAATAATGACCTACATTAATTGAAAATCTTGAAGAAAATCCCAATAAAAAGAATTTTGATTGTTAAAAAATATGTTAAGCAATAGAGACAATGAATTCAATTGGAATCCAATCTCTCCATCACTATCATTTTGCAAAAACTAAATAACCTATTATCCTACCAAATATGTACAAAGTTGAGATCATTCATGTAGACAATTTCCATCCCCTACATACCTCAAAAAACCCAATAACAACAACTAAGTTATAGTCTCAAACTAGTTGGGGTTGGCTATATGAATCCTTTGTTTCCAATATCCGCTCTGACCATATATCCAAAAAAACCATTTTTGAGTGGTCTCTAACTTAATGATCTAACCAAGCCTGACACTATCATGCATTTGGTTTTGGGTAGAGTAAGAAGAGCTTGGATGGAATTGTCCACCAACATTGGCCATAAAATTAAAAGACTGCTGAATTCATACCTTGCTTTACAGACAAAGTGACAGTGTCCTTGGATATCATTGAAAATTCAGTATCTGAGTTTGGCGGTTCAGCCATCATATCATCATTTAAATTCAAAGGTGCTACAGATGGATCTTGGTCTTTAGGAACCTGCAGGAAATTGAAAGTGACAATCGCGCAAATAGTACCAGACTAATTTAAAAAAATGCAGAATTACTTATTCATGGAACAGAATGTTCGGGTCAACAGTTGACAATGCCATGAAGCAAACTGGTATATAAGAGCAAAAAGGTATCACACTCAAATAATAGAGAGAGAGAGAGAGAGAGGATAAGGTAAAGGTAACATTACCTTTCCCACATGGACGATGGGAATGCCCGCAATTGTCCATTGTCGAAACAGATTGAAATTTTAAATTACTCAAGTTGGTGTAATAACAAATCTCATATTCGAGACCAAAGAAGAAATATTATATACAAAGTAATATAGTATAGTACACATCAATGAGTGAGCTCATACCTAAACTAAGCAAAAAAAGAGTGTGTGCGCCAATAGAATTTTTACTTTTACATATCCAGAAAGGAAGAAGGAATCTCAGCTATAGAGGATAATTAGAAAATTTCAGATGAGAAAGTCTTAAAAGACCACTATAACCTAAAAGAACTCCACCTATAAGCTAACTTAGGGAATCCTTCTGAGGCTATTGGCCAAGCCCTCAGTTTGTGCATTAATTGCTGAGAACGAAAGAACATACTGAATCCAATAATCAAATAAAAAGCAAAACCATACTCCGATTGCCACAAAGAATCACCGAAAATATTTAATTTTTTTATAAGCAAAAAAACCTCTTAATTCCCTCCTCTCTTCGTAAGTAAGTCAGTTAAGAATCTAGAAAGTAGTAACTAATCCAAAAAGAAATATTGACAATAAATTAACATAAAATAAAAAACAAAGAAACACAAAGACTAACTTATAGCATTTAAGTCAAAATCAAAATAAGAGAATAATAAAAAAAAATAGAACAGATAAAATAGAATAATAATAAGGAAGAAGAATAAATAATAGTCAGCCGACTTTGAAAAAGGCACCAAGAAGTGCCTCAAAGAATAAACATAGAATGTGGCGCTGGGCTAGAGAATACAAACGACCGAAGTTAATGAGTGATAAGTGTGAATATTGCTGATGGGCCTGATAAAAGTCATCCCAACCTCCCAAGTTATTATATTGACAGCCATTTATAAAGGCCAAAATGGAGAGAAACTCTACCTTTTTAAAAGTCCACCTATCCCACAAATGTAACAGAGGTGAATCAGTGCTTAACCCCCTTCAACATTTACCGACCCCCCATTCTATCCCCTCATATAGGTATCCCATGAAGGAAATGGTTTGTCTGTGATCGTAGCAGCATTCGCTATCCAATACATGTGATAGAAATTCAAATAAATATGTTACTTTCCCTCATTAATACAACCATTTTGATGCTTCCTCGACATAGCAATTCATTCACTCCATATTTAGCGCTGCAATCTATCTCAACTTCAAACCACGAAGGTTTCAGAGATGATCCCTGAGCCACTGCTAACTGTCATGACTTTATAAGCGCTTAATCGTCAAATCGAATAAGTGGAGTATATGCGCCGCGTTCAGTATCCAAAACAATCCTTAACTCACTTAGTAACACTATGTTATTAATCCAATAACTCTGTCTTCACTGCAGCAAACAAGTGCTTTCATCATCTTCTTTGTAACCTCGAGTTTCTTCTCAAGTGCATTACAGTATGTCGCTATTGTGATGAATACAGACTTCTGAAAGAAACACTATACCTCTTAATAGAAAGGCCTGCCTGCGCTGGCGCCTCAGTTAGTGTGATCCAACAATCGCTTCATGAGGCTCGCCTAGCTGTACAACATGAAATTTGCGACAAACTGATATGGTTTCTTTGGTGAACATTTTAAAAACTTGTGTGGAGAAAATGCATTAGAAAACAAAAACGTCTGGTTTGTGTGCGTGCCACTATACTTCTATGCATACCAGTTAACTAAGTAAAGAACGCATTTATCCGCCGCATCCTCCAGATAGTGCATATCCCTGGTGATTTTCATGACATGTTGGAAATTCAGCTGCTCATCACTGGCCATACAATGTGGAAGCTTCTATCAAATAAATGTGCCGCACTCTGAAATGAACTCACATTAATTTCTCCAGAGCAATGCCTGAACCACATAAAAAGTGCATGGAATAATATAATTCTTCTTTTAGAAGAGAGTCGTAATGACCTCTCAGAGAAATAAATAAGAATCCAAAAAGCGTACTCTTTAACCCTCTGAGGGTCTCTTCTCATAACATTTGGCTAGTTTTCCTCTCCATCTCTCCTCAATGATTATCACACTGCCACAGAGCGCCTAAACACATAAATAATATATAATCCTTGAAGAATAACAGACCCAACTCACCCTAGATAAAGAAAAAAGATAGAGTTTATGTGCATATACTCCTGTCTAGAAAAATTGTTAGATTAAGTCAAGTAGACGTACCAATGACAATATTTCAATTGGTGAAATTTGCGCTAATAACTCTCCAGTAGTCTGAGTAGCATTTGCACAAGATACGTTCACTAGAGGTTAATCACTACAGATGCATTAAATTCGAAATGGCGCAATAGAACAATTACATTTATGCTACTCAAGCTTGAGAATCATCAATCGCTCAGAGCGAAATTTCAAACCATTCCGTAAACAATCACCTCAATAAGATGTTAAACCGCCCCTGAAAACAATAAAAACAACCAAATTGCGAGACTAATTGCCCTCAGTATCATAGGTTTCCCATATCTCTAACGCTTGTTTAGCAGCCTGATTTGTGTGCCTAGATTTTTTGAATGCCTTTTTGTTTTTTCTCCAGAGTAGTGCGCTTGACATACATAAGACTCGGAACTGAAAGGAAAAATCATAATCTCATTTCTCGATAATAAGAGACAACATAATAATTTGAAAACCGCTAAGTCGAGTCTCAATATCCATAAAAATCGAATGGCTTATCCTCGACTGCTGATCCATGTGCGGCTGTATCCACTTATCATTTGTCTTACGGTTTTTGGTTTTGGGTAGAGCGTAAGAAGAGCTTGGATGGAAATTGTTCCACCAACAGTGTGTGCCTTACTTCTAAACTAGTAGTCTCACAAATGATGCCTTAGCTTGTAATATTGCGCATTACACTTAGCTCATCTATCACAGACAAACAAACGCAACAACAACAACTAAGCCTCAGCCACGCTCAAAGAATCTCTCCAGAGTGTGTGCCTTGGCAGTAGGAATAATCAATTCCCTTTGGTGATTATATCTCTCAGAGATATCAAAGTAGAAGAAATTTTGTTGGGCTGTGTGTCCCTATCAGTCAAACTATCAATAATTATCTACTATGGTTAATATCTCATCTCATTATTGCCTTGCTGAGCTCAATCGCGATCTGTCCAACTGTGTCTATTTAGAGCAGCAAAGCCCACCTCGCCAAGGTGAGCAAAATAGTCTGAAGGACATGTGCAACAATTATTCAGTGTGCTGCTACAACTAAGTAGCCAACAGATTTGAAGTTGAGCCTAATTTTGACAAAAAAAAGTAATGACAGAAAGTATAAGCCATCTATTTTCGATAGCTTTATGTAACACTCTCGTTAACTGATTTGCCGCGACTTATGCTGCAACATGCTCTTATTAACACTACCATGTTTCTACTGCCACAATTCCATGACAGCTTCAAACTCATATCAACCGCGGCAAAAGGGAACCTAAAATAAATCGATCCTATCATGCCTATGACAATGCCATGAAGCAAACTCAATTAGAGCTAAGGGAGATAAATAAGAAAGACGCTCTCTCAATACAAATTTCATCAGAGATTGGTTCTACACTCTTCATTAAAATAATGATGAGAGAGAGCAGTTTGAATTGAGATCCAAAGTTTAGTGTGTAAGCATGATAAAGATCGGTGGGTAGGCACATGCTATGGCAAAGATCAGGCCACCAACCTGCGAGTTGGCGAACCGAGAAAGAAAGGTGTGTAGATAGGGAATAACAGGTACATATTACGAAGGAAGATATAGGGATATCTCATTACTACAGTATATATTTAATCGCAAACTCCCAAAGGAAATGTCTCTCTATCCAATGCAAATATCACGGAGATTTGATGTAAATTCCCAATCTCACGATCCACAAATCACGTCCTTAGCCTCAATGCCAGATAATCAGTACCAACACATAAGCCAGAAGATTCAGTAGCCAACAATGCGATTTAAGATCTTCTAACCTGTAAATTTCCAGCTGTGTGCAATTGCGACCCTTTAGAAGAGGGGGGGGGGGGGGGGGAAGAAGGGGGAAATAACAGGTAAAAGGATATCTCACTCGTATGAAATCAATAGAAATTTCTTATGCCAATAGTCCATAATAGCTGCTATGATATAAAGCAAAATCAGACAAAATGCAAAACTATGTAAATTTCCAGCTTGCATCATTGAACACCCTCAACCATATTGCATATTGAACACAGGACAGCACACCTTAACCAGTGGAATTTCTTTTTTCTTTTTGAATAGAATTTCCTGCTAAAAGAAACTCATAATAGTCTGAAAACCCGCATGGATGAATGGGAAGAAAACGGAGCAGAGGTTTAGACCTCATGGAGCTGAGAAACATTTGGAGAAGCCAGATTCTTCAAATCAGGAGCACCAGCAGCTTCTGTACTGGGTTCATGTGATGTCGTCTCCTTCACATCAATGTTGTCTGGCTGCATGTGATCTACTCCATCCTGCTTGAGGATTGTAGAAGTTTTTGATTTGATGTTTTGGTCCCCATTCATAGTAGCACTACCAATTTCTCCACCAGGCCTTTTCCTGTATGGGCATACATAGTTGTAGAATAACCATATAATTCCAAGGATCACAACAGTAATCAATCATTAGCAAGCAACAAAAATGAAAACTATCGTTATCTCACCTAGTACTACAATTATTAGCCATCTGGGGGGCAATAGGCTTGTTGGCAAATAATATTCCACGTAAAGGCTTCCCGTCTATGATGGTTTCAATGGTATATCCATGTGGGAAACTTTCAGTAACTTTGGCTTGAAATGTCTTCTTCCCTTGGTGATGCTGCACTTGATTGAATCTCAAACTCTCTCTGCCTATGAACAAAGCATTAATTTTTTGAAAGCACAATTCATATCTTTTTCATATATAACTCATGCCACTATTTTCACTATCCTCTCAGTTTATATGAATGAAACCAGACTTGTAATCCCCATGTCAACCAAGTGCTAGTAACAGACAGTAAGATATCAATGGCTTAGTTTAGCTGGCAAAAACATGTATTAAAGTCGTCTACTATAACACAGCATCACTTTATAGCAGCTATTAAAGTCTACTATAAAAATAAGTTTTAAACTCTACAATAATACATGCCGCTACTAACAAAAGAATGGTTTCACAGAAACACAATTTAGGGCTTGCTGAACACATTTTGATCATTAATGGTCAACCTTGAAAAGCATTTCCACTATGTTGATCATCAAAAATTTGCACAAAGTATGCGAAGAGCATATGTGAATTGCAAGCTTCCATTACAAAATTCTTTCCTCCATATCTGAATTATTCAAGTGATTAAAAGCATAGAAACCATCATAATTTGGGAATCCTGCAAAGATGGCCCTGATCTCTGTCATGACTGCTTACTGCAAACTGACCTTGAAAAATGTAATGCAAATTAAGACTTAATTCTTACATTGCTCCATCCTTTCATGCAAACTGAAATCAGTTTCTAATCAACATCAAGGTTGCCAAATTCCTATTTTGTCTTGGGAAGCTTAACAAGTTACAAGTCCTGACAGAGTTTCAATTCAGAGTCCAAGTCTTCCCACCGTAATATGACATGAACTTTTTTCCTGATATTAAGAGCCAAAGCCTATCTAATCCCAGATATGATACGAGTAACATCCAGATTTACCAAACATATATCTAGCCTAAATTTCCAGCAACATTTTGTAAAGAATTCCATCCGTTACTTTGCCTTCAATTTGTAGCTACTTAACCCCAAGTCCAATGTCCATTTTTTTGCTGTCAATTTGCAGCCCACTCTATCCTTGGCCCACCACATATCTCAAACCTTTCCTTGGAGAAGATGAAAAATCCACAAGCATTCCGAGGTTAATCAGACATGCAACAGCAGGTTTCTTTCTATATTTGGTTCCATGTCAAACCTTCAAATGAGAGATAAAGGCAAAATACATCCTCACTCCCTTTACAGTCAAGATAAATAAATTCATACCCAAGGTACTGCTATAGGGAACTATTGATAAGGCTTGAGAGGCTATAAGGCTTAGGAGTCCAAAATACAAACTTTTCTTCAACCTAGGCAAAAGTACTGAAGTCAATCCACCCCGTCCCTTTCCCCAACCTCCTGGTGCAGGCCTAGTGTAACTACAACACAACAACATACTAGCAACAAGAATAAACAACCCTAGGATGTGGAACAACAAAATGCATGGCAACAACAATAATAATAAACCCCCTAGCATGTAGAACAACAAAATGCACTTGACAACAATAACAAAAACAAGTCCAGCATCTGGCCAACAACAACAAAATCCAATAGCACATTAGATAAGCTCCCAACCTAAAAGCCAGCTAGCACCAGTAAACATTATTATATTCAACACCTTGGACAAGTAAACATCTCATAGGAACAACTGCTTGAAGATTGTTGAGCACCAAATTATTTGATAAAATGGAATAATTGTCAGCATGTGTAATATGACACTACTACTGCACTTTTAAGCGATTTGAATGCCACTACGGATGACCCCAAGTTCAGAAAGTTGAATATGAAGAAATACCAACTTCAATTTTACAAAAGGGATTAACAAAATATACACTCTACTTCTTACTTGGTTGGACATAAGTTGGGACAGTCTGGTGAAAGTCAGCACTTGAGTCAATTCTAATAAGAGCTGACTCATGCAGAGGAGAATTAAGATTTTGTTCTTGGCACTTCAGCTTCAATTGCTTCCTCAAGGACAATTTCTCCAGGCGTCGTTCATCTCGTACACTTGTGAGTCCTAAAATTAGAAGGTCTATAATGCTATCCACATAATACAAAATCCTAGGCTTCTTAAGAATTCGTGTAACCATATAATCAAATTCCCAAGATCAGGCAAGAAACATTAGTTCAGGGAAAAATTGAAAAGACTTCACTCAACCTGTGTACAAATAATACATATCATCCAATGCCTCAAGACTCTTGTTGCAGCCACCTATGAACACAAGTACACCACCCAGCTGTGGATCTAAACAGTCCCCAGCCACAGAAAATCTTGCAGAAGGTCCAATGCCTGTGGTCATCACCTTTGTCCATACACCAGTGTCTGCAAGAATAAATGAATATTAATGGTTAGAAGCTAAAAATAAATAAATAAATAAATAAAATTCAGATATAACAATGAGTAGATCACAAGATCTATCCATATTTAATAGCCGACAGAAGGAAAGTAAGCAGTTGATAACTGGAATTAAAAATGGTAGAGAGCAAGGCATGGATATTGGCAGCTTCAAACTAGCCATATCTTTAACTCATGTTCCATTTGTCACACAAAGAATCTAGCTACTAAAACACTGAAACAAACATCATTCTAATGGTTCCAAAATGAATCACATCAACAGCAGTGAAACTCAATCTAAAATATGGCATACTGGGTGCACATAGGAATTCAGTACAATTCATATTTGGCCAGTTGTAAGTTAATGAAGCACCTGCCTCAATGTATGGATTGTGTCTTAATGACATTACATGTCTGCCAACCCACAGCGCCGGTCCACATCCAATATTAATCAACTATGGTGTTATTTGTTTAGAAAGGCAAAAATAAGGAAGAGGATCGAATAGTGATTGATGATATTTTATGGATAGAAGCATTATACATACCAACATCAAGCATATAAAGATCATCATACAGGTTTTGAGCGTCTGTAAATCCTCCAAAAACAAATAAATTCTTCCCAAAAGCAACAGTAGAATGACCAGCACGAGGAGGCAACTTCTGGCCTGAGGTGTTGAGCTCCTTCCATACAAGAGTTTCTAATCAAACACCAATATTCCAACATTGCATAGAAACAAATAAAATGTTAATTAGCATCTTTCCAGTCCAATTAAAATAAAAACATTAGTTTACACAATCATGTGACAATACAGGAAACAGATCTTTCATGTGCATGTGTATCGTTTGTGCATTATATGTAGACATAAATAAGAATAAGCAAAACCTGCATCTAGAATGTGTACATCAGACAAATAATAATCATGTCCATCTTCACCACCAATTACAATGACTTTATTCTTCCAAGATGAGCAAGTATGGCTATCACGTGCAGAAGGTGGAGTGCCAGATGTTGCTGCTTGCTTCCATACAAATGTCTCTGCCATATCACATGGAAAAACAACGAACTTACTGGAATTTACAACGAACTTACTGGAATTTACAACTAAATTATAGCATGAATGTAATTGAAGGAAATGCTCCAGAAATGGAATACTTTCGGAAGTATCCAAATTACAGTCCATGAAGGGCAAAAAAGAAATGGAGGATTCAATTAACTCCAAATCAGTTAAAGGAAAACAAAGAGGAAAGAAGAGAGGCTTATGTAAGGATATTTAATATAGATGCATGACATATATAGATTAGACACTAAGGCACTAAACAAACATCAAAATTATAACATCCATTGTTGCCAACGCATTCAGCCAGCAATATATATAAGAAAAATACCTGTATTTAATATGTAAAGATCACTGTAATAAACTTCATCATTATTATTTGAAGATTTTCCGCAGCCACCAAATATGAAAAGACGTTTGCCAACAAGAGCAGCATTATGACCTTCCCGTGCCTCTGGTCCCTCTCCTCTCACTGTTGGAGATATCCACGTATGTGATGCTATAATTAAAACACATAAGAAGTGTTAAGCAAATGAATAACTGCTCTTGTCATGCTACAAGCAACAAACATAAAATGACCATCAATTTGAAATTCTCTCTCATATAAATGCTAACAGTGTGTGGAAACACAATATTAGTTGATTTCTTTAGCAAGCACCAACTCATAGTCTGCTTCAGTTGAATAGAATATTTATGATATGATACTGAAAAGTTTCAAAAGAAAAAGTTACAATGCCGAAAGGCACTTGATATGTTATCATAGGAACAGAAATAAGGACAGGCTTTACTCACAAGTATCTAATATATGCAGATCCTTGAGAGGGTTCATCCCATCAGTGCCACCAAACACAAACAGATTATCGCCAACAGTGGTACAACTATGGCTGTCCCTTGGAGTGGGTGGTGTACCTTTGATCGTTGGTTGACTCCAAGTCTGCATGGCTGCAAAATATCTACATCAGCAAATTCTATAGCACAAAAGGCAAGCACATTGCTGTATAAATGGAACATGAATCCAGAGAAAAACTCTTCATAAGCAGCAATATAATAACCACTCTTGAGTAGCATCACTTAATTTACTAAATCCCTATTAGGTCGATCAATATCCCAAAATAGGGCGTAGAGTCTGAAAAAGGACATAGATTAAAGAGAGGAAAAGGCAAAAATTAGTGTCACTCAACCAAAACCACAGGAAAAGAAAAGAAAAACAAGCACTTTAAACACAAAATTCCACAACAAACAATGAAATGCAGCAAATTAATGCAATTCCAAAAATTGTATTAATGTCTTACTCACAAGAAAACTAGAAATTTCAAACTTCCAATAACAAACTCAATAGAACCCTTTGAATACCAGGTACAACAACAACGATCCTAATGAGACATTAACCAAGAAGAAATATTTTCCATCTCACAACTCACAACTCACAACTCACCTCCACCCCAACGAGAATAAATAAATACCCAGCCATCTGCTGACTGCTCAGTTGTAAACTTTTGATTAAGACATTAGGAGTAAATAAATAAAAGAAAAGGAGTAAAAGAAAGACAGAAAATTTAACTGAGCAGTCAGCAACAATAATAATCCAAAAAAAAAATTAATGCCAAGAATAAGTAAACCCACAAAAACCCTAAAAGGAACATTTTTAGTGGTTCTCCATTATAACAAACAAAAGAGATATTACAGAAAATTTTTTTTTTTTTTTTAAAAAAAAAGAACTTTATCATAACACAGCTCAGAAACATGGAAGCAAACCTTAAAAATACAAAAAATTATGAAAAGAATCAAAGAAAGAGAGACCCAAAAATGAAAGAAATGAAGAGGAGACTCACTAGTGTCAAAGACGTGAACTTGGTTGGTTTGGCAGTTATCTTTGCCATAGCCACCGAAAACATAGAGAAATCTCCCTCCTTTAACCGAATTGCAGGTATGTCCCCACCTTTTCCCTGGCCCATTACTCTCTTGTGGCAGCTGAGCTCCTTGTTGCAGGTGGGTTTGTTGTAGCTGGAGCCTTTCCCACCTCATTTCCTGGGAATTTTGTCTTTTTAGTGGCTGAGAGAGTGCAGGCAGTGAAATTTAATTTTAAGCAAAATGGAATCAAAAGAAACAGGTATGGATTTATGGGGATTAGACTGTAGATTCCTGTTTGGAGTTGTCATGCAAAAGAGAAGAAAAGGCCTAAACAAGTTTTCTATTTTAATTGAAGGGAGAGTTCGAGAGGGATTAAAGAAGAAAAAGCAGTAATCAATCTACCAAGTAGAGAGAGAGACCTGTATCCGATGGGCTCGAAAAGAGGGTTGATTTGACACGTGGCATATTTACAATGGTCTGATGTGGTGGTCCACATTAGACTCTCAGGTGAGCGCGAAGTGAGTATGTATGGCCCAGCAAAGGATTACGGGCCCTATCCATTTTGATGCCTTTATTCTTTTTATGATTTATCTGTTACTTGTTAGTCATATTTATTTTGAATTAAATATTTTATTTAATTATTTTTTAAACACCAAAGATAAGCCATATAATTTTTTATAATTATTATTATCTCTTTAAATAATTTTTTCCTTCCCAATTAAAAAAATTTTTAAATAATTATTATTAGTTAGAAATATGAAAAATAATGTTTTTTAAAAATTACTTTTTTTTTTTTGTCTTTTGATACATAAAATTTAATTTTGGATAAATTATATATTGCTTTCAAATTTAAGGATAGAATTATAATAATTAAATCTAATTTCTTGACTAAACACGAGGGATGAAATTTAAAAGATCAAATAATTATTTACCTTTTTTTGTGTTTTTTTTTTTTATTATTATTAGAACAGACCCCACAAGTAGAGATAAGTCAAAGTTGAATCTCATTTGACCAATGGATCCTTTGATTATTCTTGCCAATAATAATAAATAAAATAAAAAATGGGCATTGCATTTGCATGACTGTAAAAGTGTAAAGTGAAGTGATATTATTTTTCATATTTTAGTAATCTAAAATTTATTTTATAATTTATCTATCAATAATCTATAATCAATATCTATAATACCTTTCAAAAACATAATTTATATTTATAATCTATTTATACTGAATTTATAAATTGACAAGAATATTATTAAATATTTTAATTTAATTAGTCAAAATTTTGAAATCATATAATATAATATTAAATAATGCATATATTAAATATGGTAATATTAATACACCATATATGGTAATACATACCATATATGATAATATAATATATACATAGTATATGGTAATATTATTAGATGCATGCTAAATAAGGTGTATATTAAATACAGTAAGAATATAATATCTTTAAAGATTTTAATTTTATTTGTTGAAAAAATAAATATAATCTAATTGTAATTGTTTATTTTATACTATATAAGGTGCAGATTAAATATGATAAGAATATAATATTTTTAGTTATTATTTTTAATAAAAAAATAAATTTAATCGGTTATAGGTATTTCTTGAAATAACTTATTATTCAAAAAATAAATATAATTTATTATTATTTAAGTTCGCCACCTACGAAAAAAGAGAGTGTTGTATATTTATTACTTTTGAACACGTGGCATAATTTAACAACCTAATTTAGTTTTCCAATAGCTCATTGTGGTGAGAATTAACAACTATCCCCATTTAAGATCCCAAGATCCTATCAATGTATGTGAGTGATCTAAATGCACTGTACAAAAATGCAGGTATGGTATGTGCCCAGAGCAAAAGAATTACGGGGCCCTATCCATTTAAATTTTTGATGCCTTTTTTATTTACTCTTGTCTTTTAAAAATGATTTATCTGTTACTTGTTAGTCATAAAAAATTTATTTTGATTAAAATATATTTTATATTAAATTATTTATTTAAAAACCTCATACAGCCCCCTTTTTAAAGATGAAGAGAAGGATTGATCCATATAATTTTTAAATCTAAATCTATTATTCCATATCTAGTGCACATATCCCAAAATCTTTCAAATTATAATAATCAATTTTCCTTCCCATTAAAAAATTTTTTAAAATAAAACTTATTTCTATTTATGAAGTGAAGTTCTATAAGAATATGAAAAATAAATGTTTTTTAAAAAAATTTCTACTCCTTTTTTTTATTATTTAATAGAGACTACCATTTCATTATATATGATACTCCCAAAATTTAAAGAATTAATTTTTGGAATATATATTAAGAATTATTTTAATGTTTTGCCTATCATCCCATATTAAAGCGATACAATGGAAAAATATTAATTTAAAAATGGATTTCATAAATATATCTAGCTATGATTCCTTGCACCTAAACACGCGGAGTGGAGATTTGTATAATTTAAAAGATCAATATACATATTATTTTACCTTTATAATTTTCCATTATATTTTGTATATGTGGTTTACTTTATTTTTTTATTAATTATTAAAGAAACAAGCACTTTGAAACCCCCCACCAATTGTAATGAACTGCTATGTTATTGCTGATAAAGATACAAAAAGGGGTTTAGCCTAATTCTCTTATATTTGACGACAAATGGATTTGCAAACCCTTGCCTAGAATGATTATTTTCATTCCTTGCCAATAATCTTTAAAATTTATAAACCAAAAATAAAAAATGGGCATTGCATTTGCATCTGAGCTGGATATTAAAAGTGGTTAAAAAGTTGCGAAAAAAGTGTTATTATTATTACAATTTGGCAAATTCGGTACAAATTTTAGTAAGAGCTTGAACTACCAAATTTATTTTTATACATATTTTTATCTATACAGACCATTAATCTATTGAAGACAATCCAACTATATCTATATAATTGGACTTTTTGTTTCCAAAAACCATTATCATGTATATAATTGTGTAATTTATATTGACCTAATTTACTACTATAACCTGAAATTTATAAATTGCGACAAAATAATTATTCAAAGCATTATATTTCTAATTTAAATTAAGTCAATATAAATCTTTTTGACTATCATTAGTAATATAATATTAAAATAATGCATATATTAAAATATGGTAATCTTGTAATAATTATTTAAATAAGTAACACTCAAATGTACATATATTGGTAAAAAAATACCATTGACTAATACTATTATGATTTAAAAAATTTTTTATTTATTAATATCCTGAAGTAATTAAATCAGTGTTTTTCTCTTAAACACATCCCAGCAAAGGTCCATTGAGCATTATAACTAATCGAATAAATATAATATATACATAGTAATGGGTATATTATTTAGATGCCATGCTAAAAAAATAAAGGTGTATATTAAAATTACCCAGTAAGAAATAATATCTTTAAAGATTTTAATTTTAATTTGTTGAAATAAAATAAATATAATCTAATTGTTAATTGTTTTTATTTTATACTATATAAGGTGCAGATTTAAATATGATAAGAATAATAATAATTTTTAGTTACTTATTTTTAAATAAAAAATAAATGTAATCGGTTAAGGTTATTTCTTGAAATCAAACTTATTATCAAAAAGAATAAATATAGATTTATTATTATTTATTAAGAAAATATATTAGAAAAATATCTTATGTTTGATATAAAATAGAAAATAAACTCATTATATATATATATATAATATATATATATTATATTATAGTATATATATATATATAAATATATAGATAATAACGGATGTTAAGTTAGCAAACCATAATAATATAGTTGAAAGGATTTTTTTTTCTCCAGTGAAAAGTTACTATAAAATTAATTTAACATCCTCCATAGCCCTTTATCAAAGCAAAAAAAAAAAAAAAAAAAAAATATAAAATGAGTGCCTAAAATATTATTAACTATTATAAATATCTAATATTAATTTCTCATATTTTAGTAATATTATACAAATTATGGTAAATTAATATTATATACGAAAAATTGAAATAATTAAGTTTAAATTGTTATAAGAAAATTAAAATTCATTGATAAGTACTTTATTTTCTTGATAAATTGAATGTCAAACTATAAAATATTTTATTATTATAGAATATATTATTTTCCTAGTAAGTTATTTAATTATTAAAAACTTTTAATTTTAATTATATTTTTATTAAAATATTCATTTTTATATTTTATGCATACTCTTAGATTTTTCTAGTAATATAAATTGATTATAAATATTATAATTTATCAAAAAAATATATTATAATTTATAAAAAAATTGATAAAAATGTATCTATATAAATTAATTATATTTACTTTTAATGTATAAAATTAACGAGTATAAACAAGCAACGCACATCGTAGAAAACTAGTAATATTATAAAATGATCATAATTTAAAATTTTTAATTTGTTTTCCTATCTTCAAAAAAGCAAAACAATCTAATTATCTTCCAAATGTTTTTACATACTAATAAATTCACTTATATAAGAGATATAAGTTATAATTATAATTTACTCAAAAAAAAAAATATGACATGTGAGAATATTGTAAAACGTATCATATAAATAAAATTTGGAATTTAATTTGATTTAATCAACATTGATTTTGTTAAGTGCTTCGAATTAATGACAGTGACTATGACTAAAAGCTTTAATTCAAATCTTCTGATTAAAGAATGAAGAATTAAATAAGCTGAAGTGATAGGCTATCATGGGATTCTAGCATATTTAATAGGCTTTTTAATTAAAAATTGCCTCCCTCCTCTTCCTGACCTGACACAATAAATGTAATCTTGCTTAATATTAGTTGTTTGGTTGGTTAAGCTTTTCCGAAGAAATTGCTGACAAATTTTAAAAAAAAAAAAAAAAAAAAGGACTACTTTGCATTGTCAAATGTCAACAATTAAGGCAATCTCCTGGGGAGTTGGGTTGAGTTGAGATTGGAGAGGAGAGACCTATTTTCCATTAGTTCCCTATCATTTCTCTGCCAAGATTCCGTGCCTTTCACACAAGTAATCTCTTCCATTATTATTTTTCACTCTTTGGATTATATCAAACCAGATTTTGGCAGAGATTGATAGATCTTTTTCTGTTGGAGAAAAAAGAAACAAAAGAGTTATTTACTTTTTGTTCTTGCTCTCTTCTTCTCTTCTGTTATTATTTGGTGAAAGGAAAAGTTTGTTGCTTTTTGTCCCCAAAAGCTAAGCAATTGTCAGATTTTATTTTATGCCAATGCCACCAGTGTATTTAAGCTTCTCTCTAGCATAATATTTTATTGCTTCAGAGACTTTTCTCCTCAAGTCTAACCCAAAATTATATAAATGAAAAATTTAAGGAATATATATATATATATAAGTTAAATCACAATCAAACATTAAGTTCAACCCAAGACAGAAGCAATTGGATTGGAAGAAATTTTTCATGTGATTGAAAACTAAGGAGATAGTCTAGCTGAGATTAGAAGTTTTAACATCTCTCTCAAGAATTCTCTACATTTCAAGAATTCAAAGGCGTCCCCTCCTAATTCGAGAATATGCTATTGCTGCAACTGCAGCACCCCCCAAGTGTGCTGATCCGGAGATTTTATCGTCTCCCTGCAAGAACAAATTGATTACAATCGCAAGTAAAATAACATTTTAGATTGGTTAAGGTACAGTTGGTTAAATGAAATCTAACACACCTCTATTGTTCTCAACAGATCTTTCCCAATCACGAAGATTCCCTGCAATGACGACGAGGGATCAAGGGATTATCATAAGCATTTGATAAATGGTCTAAAGTCATTATCAATTCTTTATAGGAGGCAGATTTACCAGCAAGATGGCAGGAACTGGTATGAAAAAGTTGAGCAAAATAGTAGCTCTTGGATTCAAGAATATTTCGAGCAGCATGATAGCAGTCACAGCCCCACTAGCACCCTAATGAATACAAGTATAACCATAAGTCAAAATATTTCATTAAATTAGTGATTCATTTGCATGTTCAGCAGATAAGAAAGGCAGAGACTTTCTGGAAATGAAGAACTTATAACATTTAAGGAGATACTAAATTTTACATGTTTCAAAGTTAAATGAAAGGTTTAGGGAAAAAAAGTTACATGGAAAGTTATCACATGAGAATTGCGGTTGGCATTAGTCGTTATCTCTTGTAGTCATTTCTTTAGTTTCAGATATCAATTTATTGATTAGCTTAATTGTTAATCAGTTTCAAGGTCCAACATATCAGTCTATGAAACAATCCATCAGTTAAAAATTGTATGCTTCAGATATTGATAAGGAATCAGGACAAGGACTTCAAAATTCGTTGACTTGCATGGTTTGAATTTAGTAAAAATGAAAAATAAAAGAAAATAAATTCTATATAAAATGGTTGTATAAGCATACCAATCCTGGAGTTCTTGAAGGGTCCCTTGCAAACGTTCCTTTTTCCTGCAGTTAACAGAAGGCTGTGGTCAAAATCAAAGGTTTCTGCACTTTAAATAATATCTTAAATGGAATCTCATGTACATAGCAGAAATAAAATCTCATGTACATAGAAGAACGAACATACACTGCTCAGTTAATTTGAACTCCAACTAAAGAACATGTTGAAGTTTATATCAAGGAAGAGCATTTGCATAACATGCAATCAAATAAATATTTGGAAATACCAAAAAATAATTCTCATTACTTGCTCTCTCACAACAAAACAACTGAACATGTGTTGGAGAGCAGCTGTACCTTTGTTGAAAGAGACATATAGGCATGGTGCACCAGGTAGAAGACTGAACCACCAGTTGCCCCAGCTAAATACAAATATAGCAAGTATTGAGGTCCAAATTTCGTTCCAATCTGATCAATGGGAAAAGAAAGGAGATATAACGCACTTAACTTGCCTTGAAAACTAACTGAAGAAATAACTTTATCCAAAAGAATAGGCCAATATGCAAGATAGATATTCATACGCTTTCACAATATATCAGGCAATAATATGAAGTTTATGTTCACAAGATAATAAACTTTAATCTTTATAGAAACAAAAGAAAGAATAAGTAACAACTACCATTGTTCATTGAATTCTGTGTTCCAAGTACTACCAACCAGTTTTAAAACATAACCACTGCAAATTCCAGCAGATAACTTTTCAAAACTTCCTTCCTTGGTCTTCTTTCTATTGAACCCTTAAATTTGGAAAAGATGACATCTTAGAGTAAATAAGATCCAATTACTGTGTTAAAATAGAGCATACTGAGTTTAACATTGGACAAAACACACAATTTGGTATGTTAAAATAGAGAGAGAAAAAAAAAAAAAAAGAAAGTTTTAAAGGGACATAGACCACTGGCGGAGAATTGCCAGGCAGATAACTTTTCAAAACGTGTCCTGTCCCTTTGGTTGCGTTTGCGTGGGTATGTGTAAGCAATAAGCTAAATGTTTGGAAAGAGATGGACAGTCGGTAGAGTAGAATAAGATCCAGATTACTGTGTTAAAATAGGAGGGGCATTTAGCTGATGTTTGGGAACATGGGACAAACAGCACAGCAAGTTGGTATGATTAAATGAGAGGGAGGAGAGAAAAGGAAAAGGAAAAAGGAAGAGAGGACACGGTTTACTAGAACTTTTGAGTGATGGGTGAATGCTGTAAAGACGGAGTTTTTGGGGTGTGAAGGTGTCCATTGCTCCCCACTATGGTTAAATCTGGTAGATTGGAGGAAAGACTATCAGCAACAGAGTGAGGACGCTGGATCAGATGGATAACAGAGTCATCCAGGTTTTTGTATATTGTATAAGGCTGGAGATTGCTTTCTCAGATTTTCAAATAGGGGGAACTTCAGCAATATAGCTGAATTATCGGCCGGTTGGAGCATAAAGGTGTTTGATGATGATGTAAAAGGAGGAAGTTAAGTGGCGAGTAGCCGAGCAGAATTGCAATTTGTATTAGGAGTATTCGTCTAAGCGAGACAGAGATAGAAGGGGCATTCCGAAGAGGAATGGGTTGACATTTGGGGAGTTATAAGCGAGCTATGATAGGATTTGAGTAGGCCAATATGATCTAGAAAAAACAGAGACAAAATTCTGAACTTATATTAGACCGACCAGGAGAAATACATTGGCTGGCAAAGTCGTGAGAATACTAATAGCCCATGTCATGATTGGAAAATGGGGAGAAGGATATCAATCAATTTTGTCAAGTCAAAAGGTTTGATTTTTCTCAATGTGTTATCAGTTCGAAGGGTACGTAGCAGGAAATGGTAGTCTTTGACGGAAGAAAGCGTATGATGGAGGGGAATCGGGAATAACAATGCTAAGATGTGAAGGGCTGAGGATTATAAAAGCAAAAGGGTGGTGGTGGTAAGCCATAAAGAGGATTCGTGAGTAAGTCGTTGTTGTAATGCTTGGACGACTCGGTCCGCAAAAAGAAGACAGTGGCGCAAGTCGAGTGGTTAGATACAATGTCGGCGCCGATATCGCAGATGAGTAGGCTGGAATGGCAGGAATTAAAAGGTCATTGTGGTGGAAGACGCCACTTTCTGACAGTTGTCGCAGTGAGAGAAGCGCTGCTTCAGGGAGAGGGCATCAGAGAGTGGAGTGTGGGATGGGAGGAAGGACGTGACGGCGGTTGTAGCTCTAAGGGTTCGCATTCGTGTGCGAGTGGAGGTAATTGGGGATTCTCATTCCCAGCAATCCGTAAGGGTAGTTTACCGCGGAAGGCAAAAAGAGGAGTGTGAGTGGCCTCGCGGATGACTTGTGCGACAGAGGTATAGGATATTGCTCCAGCGGGAGATACACTGCGAGTTTTTCAGGAGTGAGGTGAGAAGGAGCCGAGTGGTTTAAAAAAAAAAAAAAAAAGAAAGGAACACGTTAACTAGAACTTTTGATATGGTGAATGCTAAACAGTTTTTGGGTTAATTCAATCTCCACTATGGTTGAATCTTAGATTGGAGGAAAGAACTACACAACAAGTGAGACCTGATCAGATAATAACAATCATCCTAGTTTTTTATATTTTATAAGGCTGAGAGTTCTTTCTCAAAATTTCAAATAGGAACTTCAGCAATATAGCTGAATGATCTCCTTGAGCATAAAGGCTGTTTGATATATTAAAAAGGGAATTAAGTTTCAGTAGCCAGCATAATTGCAATTTGTGATAGATATTCTCTAACAACAGAGATAAAGGTGATTCAAAGAATTTACATTTGATATAGCGAGCTATGATATTGATAGGCCAATATATCTAAAAACAGGAACAAATTCTGAACTTATATTAGGACCCACCAGAAATACATGGCTCAAATCTAGAATACTAAACCCATTCATATGAATAAAGAGAAGGATATCAATCAATTTTGTCAATCAAAATTTTATTTCTCAAGTTATCATTCAAGAGTACCTATCAGAATGTATCTTTGACTGAAAGCTATGATGAAATCAATAACAACTAAGAGGAACAGATTATAAAAGCAAAAGGTTGTAACCAAAGAGATTCTGAATCTTGTAATCTTACACTCGTCCCAAAAAAGTACAGTCCAATCATGTTAGATACAATGTGCCCCATATCAATATGACTGAAGGCAGAAGTAATCATTGTGTGAAGACGTCCACTTCTGACATTGTCCAATGAAATCTGCTCAGGGAACATCAAGATAGTTAGATTAAAACTACCGTGTCACTCTAAGGTTCCATTCTTCACTAGTAAATTGGATTCTCTATTCCACAATCCTAAGGTAGTTTACAATCAAAAAGTATGCCTCCAATACTTGTGCACAGATATAGATATTCTCCCACAGGATAACTCATTTTTCAAGATGATAAAACCATGTTTAAGTTTGTTATGAAACTAACTCTCTTATCAGGGATCTCAAGGATTGAGTCCTGGCACATGCCACTAGGCCACCAGTCCAGGCCTAGAGTGCATCATATGGTGAAGAGTCCAGCAAATAAAGTTTCTTTGCTGCAGCAGTTAGTAAGAACTACATAAACTGGAGACTCACCATGAAATTGTTTACCATAAATTTTTGATTGGCAACCTGCCATGCTATAAAGACAGCAACATTGGCTAAGATCAAACCCATAACCATGTCATTAGCAGTTAGTCTATGGAACCATGACCTCCTGTAAACAATAGCACACAAATTATTCTGGCTTCCGATGAAAGCATTTGCTTCTTATGCATTAAATATGAAACAAACTTACAATTTCAGACCAAGATAACATCCAGATAGGCCAAAAGGCCCAAAACACCATTGTACTATCTAGTCTGAGCATGATAAGTAGAGAAAGAAAGAAGCAAAGATGATCGAAGACAATACTAATATGCAATATTATTGAAAAAATAATATAGTGCAAAAGGAAGCTTTAATGCCAGTTTCAGAGAATGATAGCTTACGTCCAATGTTCATAATTTCAAATTAAATGAGCTTTTCTGAGCTTGGGAACATAATTATCCATACAACATGCTCAAGTCATTGGAAAAAACAAATGGCCAGTGCAAAAGATTAATAGTAAGGCTCCATTTGTTTCTGAAAAATATTTTTCAGATTTTCTGATGTTGGAGTGCTCTTAGTCCGCAGAAATATTTTTTAGGTCAATGTAAAAACTAAGCCATTTTGTAGGAAAATGAAACATTTTGCAGGAAAATGAAACATTTTGCCAACTTTGATAACGATCAACAGTATTCACAATTGTCGACAACAGCTAACCAACACCTAACCAAAGCCACCGCCACTGGTCACCAGCGACCTCCTCTCTTGAAATTTAAAAATTTTAATATTTTTTTAACTAAATTTTAACATTACAACCAAACAATAGGAAGTAAGTTCTTTTAAAAATATTTTCCAAGAAAAGCCAGAAATAAATTATTTTCTGGAAACAATGTATTCTAAAACAAAAACAAAAGGCCAATGCTGCTGATGGATTAAGGTTAAGTAATAATCAAAGTCACAGCATAAAAGTACTAGAGATCTGTATGATTTATCCAAGCTAGATTAAATTAAGAGAGCGTTTAATTGGATTAAAAAACATAGGGTTTGAGAAATAATACAGGAGAAATTGAAACTCATGATAAGTGAGAACAATTCAAATCCATATTCATATAACAAATTACCTATTCCGCCAGTAGAAACCTGAATTTGAATTGAGCCCATTATATCCTCTACAAAACCGAGCATTAAAGATGCCAAATTTGTAATCTTTTAGCCTTCTGCTGGACAACTTTAAATGGGTATTTGATAAATTTGACACAAAATGCTTTGAAAGCAATGAGTTTGAGGGAAAGCCATGAACTTTCCCTGAAAATATATGGTGTGATCGACATGGATAAAAATGGTAAGTTGGGTTCAATTGAGAAAAGCCAAAGATACGATTTTGTTGCTTGTAGTTATGGTGGGTTGATTTTGCAATGGTGGTGAAGGTTTTGAGAGGCTGAGAAAGTAGAAATGAAGAATTATTTGTATTGTCAGTTAATCTTTTACAGAAATTTGATGAGGCTAGTTTGAGCGACAGAAGCCTCTGCATTTTGTTAAGGGTTTTGATTTGAATAGTGAGTATTTGAGAGGTTTAAGCTTTAAAAGCAATTCTTTACTTGTTGAACGCTGAGCTTGGGAATCTATTTTCTTTTCTTCCTTTCAGAGTGAGGGTATTTGATTAGGGAAATCATTCATATTTCATGTTTTTTTGAACTTAAATCTTACTGTTCTGTATCTTTATATATGTACTTATATGTAAAAATTTTCATTTTAGGGGAAATTTTTGAAGCTGGAAAAAGAACATTACTGCTAACCAAAATGTTATTTAAAATTCATTTTATCCATAAACACAACTTCTTTTTTTTTTTTTCCAATTTTCTAAAATTCATTTTATCACCTCCCTTTCTCTTTTCAATTTTAATGATTATATTAATTAGACTAATGTTTATATTGAGCAATTTAATTAGATTAAGGAATATTTATTATAACTTAGCTCATTTAATTACTTTATTTTTCAAATAAAAATTGTAAATGACAGAAAAAAAATGCAAATCTACTATTAACCTTAATTATATATTTTTTTATTTATAATTTGGGGCATCTTTAAACCTACTTATGCTCATGGAGACTAAATCCTTTATTTCCTCAAATAAAGGAGCATTTGGTTTGATTTTTTCATACGGTTGGTTTGATTACAATAACTTCATCCTTCAAGGTCAACAATAAAATTTTCACATAATTATTTTAATTTTCAATTTTTTTATTCATCTAATTCATTAAAAATTTACTCATATTCATTATTTTACATATTGACTATAACAATTAACTCATTATTTATTATTTATTGTTGAATTATAATATTGAAAATTAGTAAATATTGGGAGAATATTTTCTCTTAACTCTTACTCTCTTAATTAACAAGCTTTTATGAGTTTATATCAATTAATTCTAAAAGGTCAATACTAATAAATTAGCTAATTAATTTTTCACATTTTAATTTTTTATTAGAATTTATTATTAGACCAATGAACTTTATTTTATTATTTTAGTTATAATAGATTTATCCTATGTCTAATATTCAAAAGAGAGGTCATGTCCTTCTTAAATTATTTGTACTGCTTTGAGTATATTCAAAATACAATTTATTATTTTCTGAAATTTTAATGGAAATATTATTAATAATATTTTTTTTATCCTTTTTTAACAAAAGTTGGGTTCAATTGCTAAAAATAAAAAGTTCATGGTGCCCTTGAGTTAAGAAAATCTTTTGGATTCAATCGGACATCTTTAAAATCACAAGCGCCCAAATTGGTCCGTAAGCCTTTTTCTGTCTCATTATTAAACGAAGCCGTTTTAGCGTCTCAAGCTAGCTAGCTCTGACATTCGAAAGCCTAGGCTCGATTGGCCTTTTATTCTCTCCGGACCAGCACACTGACACCGTTTATCAGCGCCTCCGCCTCTGCCGCCGCTGTTTGCCCATCTCATCTGTTGCCTTGTCTACCACCACCCATCGCTTTTCAGGTTCTCTCGCTGTCTGCTACCTTTCTTTACCATTGTTCTGGTGTGATTTTTGTTTTTGGTTAATTTGAGTTTGTTTTGATCCATGGTGGATTTCAATATGTTTTTTCTTTTATGTAACCATATTCTATAATTATGTTTATTGGTAAGGCATCCCTTTTTGTCCTTAAATTATGTCATTATCATCTGTAGGTAATTAGTTGTTTCTGGTTTTTCTATAATCTGTTTTTATTTGAGTTCTAGCTTGTTGGTTGCATTTGTTTTTTTTTTTTTTACTTTCTTTACTTCTTGTTTTATCTGAAACAAAGCTTTATCCATCAAATCGTATTCCAGATATTATTATTAATAATAATAAAAAAAAGGGTATTGCTTTCTTCCTCCATTTTTTTTTTTGTATAAATAGCATCCAAGATATTTTCTCCTTTTGTTATGCGACGTATAATTTCATCTACTATCAGTTAATGGATAGGATATTAGCATTGTTTTTATGGTTCTGATTATAGTAGTATTTTCAGTTTAAAGGCGGATCCCTCGTCCTTCATGGTATAATTTTTTTGTTTCTTAATAAATTTTCTTTTATTACCAAAGGACAATGATAGTTTTTGTTGCACAGTGAGGAAAGCAGCAGAGTCGCCTAGCATGGTGGCAAAAGTTCGCTATCTGTGCTCTAGCGAGAAGAGAATGTTTCCTCCAGCTTGAACTCAATAATGACCACTAAGATCCTTCAAAGTAGAGCTACTCTTCATTGTTTAATTTCATCCTCAAAATCAATCCTCACTCATGCAGGTGCAAGACGTCATTTCCTGTCCACAAATCCAAAATCCCCAAATCAGTCCCTATACAGAAAACAGATTTCTCTTGCCAATCTCTTCCAGAGGTATGGTTTCCCGCCATCCCAACTCCACGGTTTCATCAGTTCAAATCACTTTCTTTTAAATTCCAATTTGCCTGACATTGAGAAGTCTCTGGGTATTCTCTTATCATTCAAAATCCCACAGCAATTGATTGTGTCTCTGATTATTGAATGTCCTGGGGTTTTGGAATTTGATTTTTTGAAGAAATGGGAAAGAGGGTTTTCAAATTCTGGGGATTTGAGCATTTCTCCATTGGTGATAAAGGGTGTTTTGGCACATTCTAAAAGACTCCAGATTGATCCAGATTGGTTGTATAAGAGTGTGAACGTTTTAAAGGGTTTGGGTCTTAGTGAAGGTACTATAAGGAAGGTATTAGAGGGTTTTCCTGGAGTGATTACGTTGAAGAAAAGTGAGGTACATAAGAGAATTGAGTTCTTATTGCAAATTGGGATTTATAGAGATGAAGTTGATAGGATTTTGAATTCATATCCCGAGGCTTTAAGATTTGGGGTTGAAAATAGGCTGATGCCATTGGTTGATGAGTTTGAGGATTTGGGTTTTAGCAAAGATTATATCACAAAAGAGATTATGAAGGAGCCACAGATTCTTGGTATGGAATTAGGTGAACTTGCAAGGTGTCTCGAATTGCTTCGTTCTTTGAAATGTCGGGAAGCAATTAAATTAAGGATTTTTAAGGATGGAGCATTTAGATCTGGATTTGAAGTAAAACTTAGAGTTGATTGCTTGTGCAAACATGGTTTGATTCGTAGAGAAGCATTTAAGGTTTTGTGGAAAGAACCAAGGGTGATTATTTATGATTTAGAGGACATTGAGAAGAAGATTGAATTTTTGGTTAACACAATGAGATATAATGTTGGCTGCTTGGTTGAAGTTCCGGAGTATTTGGGTGTGAATTTTGAGAAACAGATTCTTCCTCGCTACAATGTGATTGAGTATTTGCGTGCAAAAGGTGGGCTTGGTGATGAAGTGGGACTGAAAGGTATGATAAAGTTGAGTAGGCTTAGATTCTATAATCTATATGTGAAGCCATATCCTGAGTGTGAAAAAATGTTTGGGAGGTTTTCAGGTGATGTTCAGGTTAAAAGACAACGTCCAGTTGGCCTATGGAAGCTATTTAAACCACAAATGCACCCAGATTCAAAAGAAGAATTGAAACATATAAAGTCTTTTATGGAAGGCCTTGTTTAGTTGAAATGAGTGCTTCTAATGGTTCTTCATCATTGCAATTGGAATGATCCTGCATTGGCTTGTTCCTCTTCTAATATTTGGGAATGGAACAATTGTTAACTGCTGATGTTCATCTACTTCATATTAAAGAATTGCCATGCTATTGCAACGTACTTGTCAAAATATATTGGACTGGGTTGGCACTTGATTTGATAATGCCAGCAACAGACAAGGAATTTCAATCTATTGGTTGGAGTATTTTTTTTCTGAGATGTTGGTAGTTGTCCAAGTGTCAATAGAATTTTCCTCGGAGGTGAAGCCCACCGGCTGAAATATTCTTCATGTATTAAGCTACATAAAACCGTAGAGTGCAAGGTAAACTAACCGTACTATGATTCCATATTTGTTCTCAGTTCACCATTGTTTAAAATTTCAAAAACTAGTGTAAGAAGTGCATAAGTCGTTGCCTTCATTGCCATCTTTTTCTCTTTTAAAAATGTTATGCCTGGTTTTACTCGTTCATTTTCTGAGTTACGTTAATCTTGAGGCGGGTTCTTGTTTTGAGAGGAATTTGAAGAATTGGAAATTACGAAAACAATTGGAATTTCTTTGATTCAATGCTGGTTACACATTTTGTTAAGTGAAACAATTTCTTCTTGTTACGAAAAAATTAAAATTAATGTCTGCTGGCTGATCTGCAGTTTACACTGAGTTCTTTCATGGTGAGGCATCGATGGAAGGTGAGCCAAGCCAAACTGGAGTTGCTTTTCTTGTTGAGTTGAAATTTCACTGACACAGAGACCCTAGAGGAGTAGGCGACAGAGTAAAACTTCCTTGCAGACACATGCATTCATTAGCCGATGCCTCTGTGCAGCTAATTTGTGCATTTTTATTTTTCTTATTTGGAATTTTTTGTTTTAAGGACAGTCAAAACCAGCAAAACCAGTGCAGGACAGTCAAATTAAACAAGAATGAAAACATGGAACAGAGAATGATAATAAGTAGATTGAAATTAACGATAATTATGAATGAAATTAATCCTAATTTAGGGTTTCTAAAATTCATAAGGACTTGACAAGAGGACTTCATATTGAAAAGAAGTTCAAATTAATCTTGAGAGGTGCATTTTTTTATTATTTTTTATTGTTAATTTTAGTATGTTAATCATCCTAATGTTTCTTAGTAGGTTCAATCTCATCTCAGTTAACTTTTATTTGGGCTTTATATAGGCCTAGAGCGGCCCAGCTTGGCTTGAATAACTAAAAACCAAATAAGCTTAATTATGGTTCTTTCACATTTGCTAATTCAACATATGAATCAATAGAAATTAGTATTGCAATTATAATATTTGCTTTTTCTGAAAATTATATTATTAGTTTTATACTATTTTATTTTTTAAATGGTTCGACTTGTGTTTGAAATTTAGCAAATCGCCTTTAAAACAATTTGATTCGATGTTTATTCAATCAAAACCATTAATATGATTTTTTTTTGTTTTTTTTTTTTGTTGACTTAAAGGGAAATTGATTTTTAATAATTAAAAAATATTATTTTTGGTCAATTATTTAATGAACAACTATAAAATATATATAAATTTCTTTATAGATATATGTTCTTTTGTTCGCATAAGTTGTACTGCATTTTTGTATCATAATCAAGCAGTTTCTTTCTCCAGAAAATACCAAGATATGGTCCCTTTTGGAGGATTTATTCCTGAAAATTAGGTGTGCCTCAATAAGTGTTACCTTTAACTTTTGTCTTTTGGGTCAATGTCAAGTTAAATCCTTTTCTTTTTATTATTTCTTTTTGGATTAATGATTTTTACACAAAGAAATAATTATTAAGCTTGAATTTCTGTTTTATATTATATATAGGATAAATACCGATATCTAAATTATTCAAATTGAAGAATATTTACATGTAAGAATACACTTTGTACCAAAATTATAATACTTTTATAAAAATAATTCATATATTTTACAAACATACGCACATTCTACAGGCCGTATGAGATTTTGGAGAAGAAGCACATATTGTATTATTATTATTATTATTATATAATACAAGTTGGAGTAAAAAATAAGCAATTTGTATAACCCAAAACAAGGAATGTTCCTTTAACATATGTATATTGTCTAGAGTTTATATGAAAGAAGACCAACCCACATTTGATTTTGAAGAATATATGTAAATAAGTGAGTATAGCCTAGGTAGCTAGGTATTTATATTTGACCAATTTGAGAAAGTAAATGAAGACCTTCTCCTTCTGGCTTCTGCTATATGACCCTGACGATGATTAACATGTTGGGCCAAAAAACATAAAACATATAGCATCATGTCATTATGTATTTTCAATCTCATTTTCATTTTTCTTGGTTGAATGAGAATGTATTAATTTCTCGTGGTACATAAATATTTTTTGCCTATTCAGTAAATGCGTTAAAATTAGCTACCATTTCGATTAACAGATTATTAATTTATTTTTGATTTTATTTTTACTATATATAGAGAGAATTTTTTATCAATATATATACTTATTATAAGTTTAGAAAAGTGGGAATCGAGATCGCTAATATCTCTCCATCAGATGATGAGGAATCGATTCTACAATTGTATGAGATTTCACTTTTGTTGGTGTAGAATATTTTACATGCTGCCATATGTATGATATTAAATTGCATTTTATCCTTATATTTTGCATAAAAAATTTATAGGACAATTAAATTTTATTTTGACTCGTTAAATATTTTAGTTAATAAAATTACACCGTGACAAATCATTAAACTTAAAATTACACCGTGACAAATCAAAATAATTTAATTGTATTTATACAAGATTGAATTTATAATATTTTTGCTAAAAATTTTATAATAATTTAAAACACTATAAAAATACACATTAATTAATTAACATGAAACCAAATTCCAAATCTCAAATTTTAAAATGAAAAAAAAGGGAAATAAAAAGACGAGCGTTAGTCACAACTTCCGTTGACGCCGGTTGACGCGGGTCATCGGTCAGACTCCTCCAATAATAGCAGAGGCCGGTGTAAGACATCAGAGTCAATATTCATGCTACCGCGAAGAATCAAACCTGAATCGTTCAGACGGATCTTCAGCGCTTTCACCATCAAGCCACGTTTTAAAATTGGAGGAAAGCGATAATTAAATTAAGAAGTTTCCGAGTAATTATCACACTAAATTGAGAACTGCCCTGATAGGTCAGCAATACTGCTAGCTGCAGTTGAAATTATGGCAAACCATGTGAACACTTTTGCATTATTTAATTATATATATGTTACTCTTAAGTCTTACCCTCAATTTATAGAGTAGCTAATAGCTATAGGACTAGAAAGTTTTGTACTGTACATGCATGCAACCTGATAAAGTTTTCCTTACTCATCTTATCATGAAATTTAATAATTAAGTAAATACTGTTTTAGCCATCCCAGTAACATTTTTTATTTTTAACGGTTGGACGAAAGATTATTCTTTTTCAAAATGGATTGATTATATTTAAAAACTTTTTAAAAACGCTGATTTTATTATCTAGTGCTACGATCATCAATTTGAAATAATAAACAATTTTTATAATATTTAACAGCTACTTAAATAGTATGGCCCAACATGTCTTAATAGAAAAGCTAGAACTTTAATTAAATTTAGCTTAATTTTTATGGAATCAATGAACAAAACGTAAGAATGGAATAGCAACAAGATGTATAAATAAAAAAAAAAGGTGTTGTGTACGGAAATAAAATGTTGGTGTAAAGAGAAGAGATAAGAGAGAGATTGGTACAGGAAAATTGAGGCATGCGTAGTCCTTAATGGCAGCTCAGCCGGCGGATATATTGGAAGGCAGCAGAATCCTCTTCGAAGGGAGAATCAATGGGATTTATCTGTCATACGTACGTACTACTGCTCACCTTTAAAGCTCCTCTGCATTGCGCGTGATCATAATGTCAAAGCGTCCTCACACTATTGCACGACGTATGCCACCTCTCCATTTTTTTTTTTTTTTTATAACTGCCTCACCTTTAAAGCTTCCTCTGCAATTGCGCGTGAATCATAAAATGTCAAAGGCGTCCCTCACACTTATTGCACGAAGTATGCCACCTCTCCATTTTTTTTTTTTTTTTAACTCGCATTGCCCAAGCTTGGTAGTTTTTTTTTTTTTTTTTAACTCCATTCCCAACTTGTAAATAATATTAAAAAAAATTATAATTTCATTTCACCAAAACGAGTGATTGGTTAACAAGGTTACAAGTTCTATCTTCATAGATGAAACGAGTTGATAATATCAACATATTTAATAATAGATTCGATTTTATGCATAATAAATAAATTTGATTTTGTTCAAAAATATATTTGAATTTATTCGATAAGTCTGTCAAGTTGGACTCACAAGCTAGCTTAATAAACCGAAATAAATTAATCTATACGAAAAAAGATATTATTTTGATTTGGTAAATTTCAAGTTCAAACTTAAACGCAAGCTTAGTTTATATTTATTTATCGAGCTGAGTTCGAAATTTAGCTATTTTTTAAATGAATTGGAGTTGGGATATATTCTACAGAGTTCAGCCGGTTTGTTTATAACCCTAGCTGAATTCATCCATTCGATTCAAATCATTTCGGTTCTACACACTCGGAAATGACTTTATCCAGGCTGCCAGGCATTAAATTATTACTTGAAGTTACTCTGAACATAAAACCAAAAACCAGCTAAGAGATTGTAATATGGGAAAACAATAAGGTAACTTTTGCATTAAATTTACCCTATCTTACCCTATATATGTAGCTGTAGCATGCATGCATGCCATTCTGCTATCACTACTTTGCAAACTCTGATTTTAACGCATCTCCGCAATACTTCAAATCATAACATTTCAACTCCTAAAATTATTTTATTGAAATATTATATTTTTTTAATTAAATTAATCAAACCATTTCTTTATATTTAAAATATATAAAAATTATTATTCAAAAAATTATGATAGCTATATATTAAATTAATATTTTGTGTATAAAAATCAAACACTTTAAAAGCTATTGTTGTTGGTAGGGAAAAGTGTGTAAATATCATTAAATTTTATAAATTCAGGTATACGATAGATCATTTAGAAAATTTAAAATGCCGAAAAACTAAAGTTGCAAGATTGAGTGTGAATTTATATAATATGTGTAGTACTCCCTCTCCTTTTTAATATGTGTCGTTTTAGGATTTTTTTTTTTTAATTAAATCACGTTTTATGATTCTAGTGATTAGGGGTGTTCTCAATATTTAAAGTTTTAACTTCCCTAATTAAAGCTTCAATTGAAGAAGAGAGATCAAAAAGCTATGACCTATAAACTTTATTGCTATATAATAAATACATAATTGTAATTTATTTGATATTTAGTATTTTATGATTTATACATTTTATAAATATTTTTCTAATAACTTGCATGGTTAGCATTACCGTTAGTGTAAAAATTCCTATGTGCTAGCTCTTTACTTGTTTTATAGAGCAAACGGGAAATACTACAGATTTTTTTAGATCTTGCATGGATTATTCAACCTACTTAACATCACTGCCAAAAGATTAATTGCATCTTTTTACTTTAGACAAAGATCTATTATTACATGTTCAATGATTTAATTTTAAAGCGAAAACAGCAATAATATATTAATAATTAATAATATGCATTTTTTAAAATATAAAATAAATAAAGTAAGAGACATAATTTTTAACATAGATTTTTTCTCTGTTATTTCATAATATATGTTCAATAAATTTTTTTTATTAAATAAAAATAAAAAGATTAATCAATACAAGAGAAAATAGTAACTTCAATTAATCTAATTGTTGGATTATTGGTTATGCTTAACGCTATCATTATTTATTTTTCAAATGATATTCAAGATTAAATTATATAGTATCGAATTTGAATTGGCTTTAAAAAGACAACAATGACAAAAACAATAACAAATTAAAATTCATAAAATACATATAAAGTTACATATAAAGTTAAACTGTATATAATTTTTTAACATTATTTTAATTTTAATTAAAATATTTA